GCCCTTCCACAAGGTGACTTTTGAGTCGACTCAAAAGCGAGCGAGGCTCTGGTGGATTAACTCCCCTTCCACAAGGTGACTTTTGAGTCGACTCAAAAGCGAGCGAGACTCTGATGGATTAACTGCCCTTCCACAAGGTGACTTTTGAGTCGACTCAAAAGCGAGCGAGGCTCTGGTGGATTAACTCCCCTTCCACAAGGTGACTTTTGAGTCGACTCAAAAGCGAGCGAGGCTCTGGTGGATTAACTCCCCTTCCACAAGGTGACTTTTGAGTCGACTCAAAAGCGAGCGAGGCTCTGGTGGATTAACTGCCCTTCCACAAGGTGACTTTTGAGTCGACTCAAAAGCGAGCGAGGCTCTGGTGGATTAACTGCCCTTCCACAAGGTGACTTTTGAGTCGACTCAAAAGCGAGCGAGGCTCTGGTGGATTAACTGCCCTTCCACAAGGTGACTTTTGAGTCGACTCAAAAGCGAGCGAGGCTCTGGTGGATTAACTGCCCTTCCACAAGGTGACTTTTGAGTCGACTCAAAAGCGAGCGAGGCTCTGGTGGATTAACTCCCCTTCCACAAGGTGACTTTTGAGTCGGCTCAAAAGCGAGCGAGGCTCTGGTGGATTAACTCCCCTTCCACAAGGTGACTTTTGAGTCGACTCAAAAGCGAGCGAGGCTCTGGTGGATTAACTCCCCTTCCACAAGGTGACTTTTGAGTCGACTCAAAAGCGAGCGAGGCTCTGGTGGATTAACTCCCCTTCCACAAGGTGACTTTTGAGTCGACTCAAAAGCGAGCGAGGCTATGGTGGATTAACTGCCCTTCCACAAGGTGACTTTTGAGTCGACTCAAAAGCGAGCGAGGCTCTGGTGGATTAACTGCCCTTCCACAAGGTGACTTTTGAGTCGACTCAAAAGCGAGCGAGGCTCTGGTGGATTAACTCCCCTTCCACAAGGTGACTTTTGAGTCGACTCAAAAGCGAGCGAGGCTCTGGTGGATTAACTCCCCTTCCACAAGGTGACTTTTGAGTCGACTCAAAAGCGAGCGAGGCTCTGGTGGATTAACTGCCCTTCCACAAGGTGACTTTTGAGTCGACTCAAAAGCGAGCGAGGCTCTGGTGGATTAACTCCCCTTCCACAAGGTGACTTTTGAGTCGACTCAAAAGCGAGCGAGGCTCTGGTGGATTAACTCCCCTTCCACAAGGTGACTTTTGAGTCGACTCAAAAGCGAGCGAGGCTCTGGTGGATTAACTGCCCTTCCACAAGGTGACTTTTGAGTCGACTCAAAAGCGAGCGAGGCTCTGGTGGATTAACTGCCCTTCCACAAGGTGACTTTTGAGTCGACTCAAAAGCGAGCGAGGCTCTGGTGGATTAACTGCCCTTCCACAAGGTGACTTTTGAGTCGACTCAAAAGCGAGCGAGGCTCTGGTGGATTAACTCCCCTTCCACAAGGTGACTTTTGAGTCGACTCAAAAGCGAGCGAGGCTCTGGTGGATTAACTGCCCTTCCACAAGGTGACTTTTGAGTCGACTCAAAAGCGAGCGAGGCTCTGGTGGATTAACTCCCCTTCCACAAGGTGACTTTTGAGTCGACTCAAAAGCGAGCGAGGCTCTGGTGGATTAACTCCCCTTCCACAAGGTGACTTTTGAGTCGACTCAAAAGCGAGCGAGGCTCTGGTGGATTAACTCCCCTTCCACAAGGTGACTTTTGAGTCGACTCAAAAGCGAGCGAGGCTCTGGTGGATTAACTGCCCTTCCACAAGGTGACTTTTGAGTCGACTCAAAAGCGAGCGAGGCTCTGGTGGATTAACTGCCCTTCCACAAGGTGACTTTTGAGTCGACTCAAAAGCGAGCGAGGCTCTGGTGGATTAACTCCCCTTCCACAAGGTGACTTTTGAGTCGACTCAAAAGCGAGCGAGGCTCTGGTGGATTAACTCCCCTTCCACAAGGTGACTTTTGAGTCGACTCAAAAGCGAGCGAGGCTCTGGTGGATTAACTCCCCTTCCACAAGGTGACTTTTGAGTCGGCTCAAAAGCGAGCGAGGCTCTGGTGGATTAACTCCCCTTCCACAAGGTGACTTTTGAGTCGACTCAAAAGCGAGCGAGGCTCTGGTGGATTAACTGCCCTTCCACAAGGTGACTTTTGAGTCGACTCAAAAGCGAGCGAGGCTCTGGTGGATTAACTGCCCTTCCACAAGGTGACTTTTGAGTCGACTCAAAAGCGAGCGAGGCTCTGGTGGATTAACTCCCCTTCCACAAGGTGACTTTTGAGTCGACTCAAAAGCGAGCGAGGCTCTGGTGGATTAACTGCCCTTCCACAAGGTGACTTTTGAGTCGACTCAAAAGCGAGCGAGGCTCTGGTGGATTAACTCCCCTTCCACAAGGTGACTTTTGAGTCGACTCAAAAGCGAGCGAGGCTCTGGTGGATTAACTCCCCTTCCACAAGGTGACTTTTGAGTCGACTCAAAAGCGAGCGAGGCTCTGGTGGATTAACTCCCCTTCCACAAGGTGACTTTTGAGTCGACTCAAAAGCGAGCGAGGCTCTGGTGGATTAACTGCCCTTCCACAAGGTGACTTTTGAGTCGACTCAAAAGCGAGCGAGGCTCTGGTGGATTAACTGCCCTTCCACAAGGTGACTTTTGAGTCGACTCAAAAGCGAGCGAGGCTCTGGTGGATTAACTCCCCTTCCACAAGGTGACTTTTGAGTCGACTCAAAAGCGAGCGAGGCTCTGGTGGATTAACTCCCCTTCCACAAGGTGACTTTTGAGTCGACTCAAAAGCGAGCGAGGCTCTGGTGGATTAACTCCCCTTCCACAAGGTGACTTTTGAGTCGACTCAAAAGCGAGCGAGGCTCTGGTGGATTAACTCCCCTTCCACAAGGTGACTTTTGAGTCGACTCAAAAGCGAGCGAGGCTCTGGTGGATTAACTCCCCTTCCACAAGGTGACTTTTGAGTCGACTCAAAAGCGAGCGAGGCTCTGGTGGATTAACTGCCCTTCCACAAGGTGACTTTTGAGTCGACTCAAAAGCGAGCGAGGCTCTGGTGGATTAACTGCCCTTCCACAAGGTGACTTTTGAGTCGACTCAAAAGCGAGCGAGGCTTTGGTGGATTAACTCCCCTTCCACAAGGTGACTTTTGAGTCGACTCAAAAGCGAGCGAGGCTCTGGTGGATTAACTCCCCTTCCACAAGGTGACTTTTGAGTCGACTCAAAAGCGAGCGAGGCTCTGGTGGATTAACTCCCCTTCCACAAGGTGACTTTTGAGTCGACTCAAAAGCGAGCGAGGCTCTGGTGGATTAACTGCCCTTCCACAAGGTGACTTTTGAGTCGACTCAAAAGCGAGCGAGGCTCTGGTGGATTAACTGCCCTTCCACAAGGTGACTTTTGAGTCGACTCAAAAGCGAGCGAGGCTCTGGTGGATTAACTGCCCTTCCACAAGGTGACTTTTGAGTCGACTCAAAAGCGAGCGAGGCTCTGGTGGATTAACTCCCCTTCCACAAGGTGACTTTTGAGTCGACTCAAAAGCGAGCGAGGCTCTGGTGGATTAACTCCCCTTCCACAAGGTGACTTTTGAGTCGACTCAAAAGCGAGCGAGGCTCTGGTGGATTAACTGCCCTTCCACAAGGTGACTTTTGAGTCGACTCAAAAGCGAGCGAGGCTCTGGTGGATTAACTGCCCTTCCACAAGGTGACTTTTGAGTCGACTCAAAAGCGAGCGAGGCTCTGGTGGATTAACTGCCCTTCCACAAGGTGACTTTTGAGTCGACTCAAAAGCGAGCGAGGCTCTGGTGGATTAACTGCCCTTCCACAAGGTGACTTTTGAGTCGACTCAAAAGCGAGCGAGGCTCTGGTGGATTAACTGCCCTTCCACAAGGTGACTTTTGAGTCGACTCAAAAGCGAGTGAGGCTCTGGTGGATTAACTCCCCTTCCACAAGGTGACTTTTGAGTCGACTCAAAAGCGAGCGAGGCTCTGGTGGATTAACTGCCCTTCCACAAGGTGACTTTTGAGTCGACTCAAAAGCGAGCGAGGCTCTGGTGGATTAACTGCCCTTCCACAAGGTGACTTTTGAGTCGACTCAAAAGCGAGCGAGGCTCTGGTGGATTAACTGCCCTTCCACAAGGTGACTTTTGAGTCGACTCAAAAGCGAGCGAGGCTCTGGTGGATTAACTGCCCTTCCACAAGGTGACTTTTGAGTCGACTCAAAAGCGAGCGAGGCTCTGGTGGATTAACTCCCCTTCCACAAGGTGACTTTTGAGTCGACTCAAAAGCGAGCGAGGCTCTGGTGGATTAACTCCCCTTCCACAAGGTGACTTTTGAGTCGACTCAAAAGCGAGCGAGGCTCTGGTGGATTGACTGCCCTTTTACGCAAACACGCACTTTCCTCTTCCTGTGCTTCCCCCGGGCCCCCACCCACTCATCCACCTCCCATGCTCTACCAACCTTCTCCCTGCCTGTCAACAGATTGTCAACCAAGTGAGCGAGGCGCTGGTGGATCAGCTGCCCTTTCATGCCACCGCTCTGGAGTTGGCGCCAGGTGGCATGCTCGGATTGGTTGCAGACGAGGTTGCCTCAGCCTACTATGCATTCTGCTCCAACAACATATACGAGGTGCGATGCGAGCATGCGCGCGCGCGTGTGTGTGTGTGTGTCTCATACTTGCATACATACATGCAGACATAGATTATGCATGCATATTCGAGTGACTTTTGAGAATTCTCGAAAGTCACTAGAATACATGCAGACATAGATTATGCATGTGTGGACATGATCTGATGCGAGGTGCCTACTATGCCTTCTGCTCCATCAAGGAGGGCCATGTGGCAGGCAGGTGTATCTGGGCAGGCACGACTACGTTATGACTTTTGAGAATTCTCAAAAGTGATTTCAATAGGGCCATGTGGCAGGCAGGTGTATCTGGGCAGGCACGACTACGTTATGACTTTTGAGAATTCTCAAAAGTGATTTCAATAGGGCCGTGTGGCAGGCAGGTGTATCTGGGCAGGCATGACTATGCTATGGGTGCTTACACCCACCACTCACCATGTCCTTCCGTTTCCTTCTATCTGTGCTCCCCTTCGCATCAGATCGCCGTGTGCGATGAGGGCAGGGCCATGTGGCAGGTGTATCTGGACAGGCACGACTACGCCATGGGTGCTTACACACACCCTCCCTCCCGTTCCCTTCCCTTCTCGCTCTGTCAACTTTCCAACCCAGATTGCTGTCTGTGACGAGGGCAGGGCCATGTGGCAGGTATACCTGGACAGGCATGACTACGCCATGGCTGCTCTGCTGACAAACTCCCGTCTCTTCCCCCAATTGCTCCCCCCTCTACCGTCTTTTCTCCCCAGATTGCTGTGTGCGACGAGGGCAGGGCCATGTGGCAGGTGTATCTGGACAGGCACGACTACGCCATGGCCCTCTCCTTCTGCCGCACACCGCTCCAACGCGACCGGGTATATGCAGCCCAGGCAGAGTCAGCGTTCAAGGATGGGGACTATGAAAGAGCCGCCACCTTCTTTGCTCGGGTACGTGTTTCTGCACAACACACACAGTGGTTGGGGCAGGATGAAGGTGTATCTGGACAGGCACGACTACACCATGGCCCTCTCCTTCTGCCGCACGCCCCTGCAGCGCGACAGGGTGTATGCCGCCCAAGCTGAATCCGCGTTCAAGGACGGGGACTATGAAAGAGCCGCCACCTTCTTTGCTCGGGTACGCTTGTCAACCGCACAGTGATTGCATGTGTATCAAGTTCGTGGATGCTTGCCCGCCCTATCTCCCATCACCGTTCACCACCACTCATCACCTCCCGCCACCGCCCACCCCATCTCCCCCCACCAGACGGCTCACCAGGTGCCTTTCGAGGAGATGGCGCTCAAATTCGTGGAGGCAGGGCAGCAGGGCGCCCTGCGCTCTCTTTTGAGGCGCCTCAAAGGGCGCTCTGCGCTCTCCCTTCAATCAAACCTTACCCACACCCGACCACAACCATTACCTGCCCCCTCCCTGCTCCCCCCACCAGACGGCCCACCAGGTGTCCTTTGAGGAGGTGGCGCTCAAATTCGTGGAGGCGGGGCAGCAGCAGCAGGATGGGCTGCTTTGCCCCGTGCCTGCACTCACTCAAATCCTTCCCACCACGCTCCACCTGCTCCCTCCCACCACCAGACGGCCCACCAGGTGCCCTTTAAGGAGGTGGCGCTCAAGTTCGTGGAGGCAGGGCAGCAGGGCGCTGCGCTCTGCTCTCCTTTCCGGCATTCAAATCAACTGATGCCTGCCTGCCTTGCGTGGCCCCTTCACCCTCTCCCCCCCACCAGACGGCCCACCAGGTACCATTTGAGGAGGTGGCACTCAAATTCGTGGAGGCGGGGCAGCAGGGCGCTCTGCTCTGCTCCTTTCCATGAAACCTTGCCCACACCAAAGCACAACCAATGCATGTCTCCCCCCAGCCCCACTCTCTCTCCACACACTCGCTCCTTCCTCCAGACGGCCCACCAGGTGCCATTTGAAGAGGTGGCGCTCAAATTCGTGGAGGCAGGGCAGCAGGACGCCCTGAGGAGCTTCCTACTGCACAAGCTGGACCACCTACCAAAGCAGGAGCGCGCGCAGATGACCATGGTGGCCACGTGGGCTTCAGAACTGTACCTTGACAAGGTAACACATCTGCCGGACACGAAGGCGTATCTTGACAAGGTAAACAGATAGGCGTGTGTGTGTGGGACGCCCTGAGGAGCTTCTTATTGCACAAGCTGGACCACCTACCCAAGCAGGAGCGCGCGCAGATGACCATGGTGGCCACGTGGGCTTCAGAACTGTACCTTGACAAGGTAACGCACAAGTGCCGGACACAAAAGCACAAGCACATGCACTGTGTGCTGCAGACTAACGAGGTGACTTATTCAGTCGATGCAAATGACAATGGTGGCCACGCGTGGGCGTCTGCGCTGTATCATGACAAGGCAACACACAGAGTTGTGTGGCGCAGGGACACACAAGCACAAGCCCAGGCACCGTGTGCCATTTAACAAGGTGAACTTCGAGTCGACTGAAATGACAATGGTGGCCATGCGTGGGCGTCTGCGCTGTATCTTGACAAGGTAACACTCAGATGTGCACTCAATGATATGTATAATCTATGTATGCATGATGCCTCCACCTTTAGTGCCCCTTTTGCACATGCGCGATTGTCCCTGCACTCGATGTCCACCTTCTGTTCCCAAGGTGACTTTTGAGTCGACTCAAAAGTCACTTCGCACATGCGCGATTGTCCCTCCACTCGATGTCCACCTTCTGTTCCCAAGGTGACTTTAGAGTCGACTCAAAAGTCACTTCGCACATGCGCGATTGTCCCTGCACTCGATGTCCACCTTCTGTTCCCAAGGTGACTTTTGAGTCGACTCAAAAGTCACTTCGCACATGCGCGATTGTCCCTCCACTCGATGCCCACCTTTTGTTCCCTTCCCTCCTTCTAGGTAGGCCCATCATTCGCCCTTCCCTGTCCCCCTTATCAAGTTTTCTTCGTTTCACTCGTCCCCATGTTTTCCATATTTTTCCTCCTCTCCCTCCTCTCCCTCCTCTCCCTCCTCTCCCTCCTCTCCCCCCTCTCCCTCCTCTCCCCCCTCTCCCTACTCAGATCAACCGGTTGTTGCTGCAACTGCCACCTGACTTTGAGAAGCACGATTCGATAGCTACCAAGTCCGAGTCCAGTTCTGCTGCTGCTGCTGCTGCTGCTGCTGCTGCTGCTGGTGCTGCTGGTGCTGCTGGGGAAGGAAGCAGGACAGGAGCGGAAGGATCAAGGACGGGAGGTTCGAAGGAGGGTTCAGGAGTGGAAGGGTTGAGAGAGGAGTATAGAAGGGTGGTGGCGGCGTTCAGAGCGTTCCTCAGTGACTGCAAGGACGTGCTGAATGAGGCCACCACTGTAAAGCTGCTCGCCAGGTGGGTGACACGTGGTAATGAGCGGTGGTGAGGGGTGGCGAGGGGCGATACGTACTGCTGACTTCAACAGACTGAAAGGGCGTGCTGGAAGAAGCAACGACTGTGAAGCTGCTTGCCAGGTGGTGATTGGTGGTGAGGGGTGATAAGGTTTGATGAGGTGTGGTGATTGGTAATGAGGGGTAATTCCTTCATCCGATTGGGTTTGACCTGTGTTGACGTGGATTGACGTGTGTTGACCTGTGTTGACCTGTGTGTGCATGTGCAGCTACGGTCAGGAGGAGGAGCTAGTGTATTTTGGAGGACTAAAATGAGAGGCTCCGTGTCTTGACCTGTATTGACTGTGTTTACCTGTGTTGACCTGTGTTGACCGTGGTGTGTGTTTGCAGCTATGGTCGGGAGGAGGAGCTGGTGTACTTTGCAGGACTGAAGCAGCGGCACGAGACAGTCATCGAACACTTTATTCGGGTATGAGACATAGTTAGGCGTCTCATTCAGTCATCTCAGTCATGTTTTGAGATGTCTCAAACTATGAGAGGCAAGAGTGAGGCGTCTCAAATAATGAGACGTGTTTTGAGACGTTTCAAAACTCTGCGGGGCTGAAGCGGCGGCACGAGACAGTGATTGAACACTTTATTCGGGTATGTATGATTTGAGACGTCTCGCATTCCGAGCAATTTGTAAGCAGCTGCTCAAGTGGTCGATAGATTTGTCCCTCTCTCTCCTCCCGCTCTCTCCTGTCTCCCCTTTGTGCCTGATCAAACATGTCATCCAATCCGGTGTCGCCACCTCAGCAAGGCGATGCTGACTCAGCAATCGCCGTGCTGCGCCGACCCTCAGTGCCTCTAGAGCTTCTGGTAGGCCGCCCTCATTCACCCCCCTTATTATCACTCTCTTGAACAGCACGGTGATTCTTCTGCTCCCTTTACTGTCACATCTCCTAAGAGCACAGCTACACTGCCCCTGTTGCAATCGCATTGCCAGTAATACCTTCTATTCTCGTGCTCTGTTCTCACAGCGCCCTCTGTCACATCTGTTCTCTCTGTCACACCTCCCCTCTTGCCCCTCGCGCATGGGCCCACCCCCCTCCCTCCCTGCCAGTACAAGTTCTCACCAGCCCTCGTGCTCCTCGCTCCCTCCAGCACTGTTGACCTCTGGATCATGTCTGCCTCTGCTGCTTCTCGAGTCCTTCCCCTTCTGTCCCCCCTTCCACTCCTTGCCCTTTCGTTCCCTCCCCCTCCTTCCCAGTACAAGTTCTCACCAGCACTCGTGCTCCTGGCTCCTTCCAGCACTGTTGACCTCTGGATCATGTCTGCCTCTGCTGCTTCTCGTGTCCTTCCCCTTCTGTCCCCCCTTCCACTCCTTGCCCTTTCGTTCCCTCCCCCTCCTTCCCAGTACAAGTTCTCACCAGCACTCGTGCTCCTGGCTCCTTCCAGCACTGTTGACCTCTGGATCATGTCTGCCTCTGCTGCCTCCGCTCCTGCTTCTGCTACTTCTTCTTCTGCCGGTGCTGCTGCCGCTGCATCTGCTGCGGCAGGGTTCGATCCTCGTCGGCTTATCCCAGCAATCATGCGTTGTGCTACTGCCTCTAGTGGTGCTGCTACGGCTGCCACTGTTACCAGCTACCAGCCAAATGAAGCCATCCGCTTTTTGGAGTTTTGTGTGCACAGGCTGGGATCCAGAGATCCTGCCATCCACAACCTGCTGCTCTCTCTCTATGCTGACCAGGTCTGTTCATCTGACTCTGTTTCTCCTCAGACCCTGTTTTTTTTTTTTTTTTTTTTTTTTCTTGGTCCATCCCTAATCTATCAAGCCAATGAGTCATCTCTATGCCGACCAGGTCTGTCAACTTTCTTTTTCGAATCCTTTGCCCGCCCCCCACCACCCGCACCTCTCACCTCTAATGTCCTCCCACCCCCGCCGCCATGAACCCTCCATTCACCTCTGCTCATTTTCCTTCTTTTTCCTCCTATTTCTGTGCACACTGCTCCCATGTCTAAGCAGGCGAATGAAACATCCCTGGTCAACTTCCTCTCTTGGATCCCCCCTCCCCCACCACCACACACCCTCTTCCTCCCCTCCTTTTTCAGTTTCCTTTTTTCTCCTCCTCTGTCTACTCTTGTGCCCCCTGCTGCTTCCATGTCTAAGCAGGCGAATGAAACATCCCTGGTCAACTTCCTCTCTTGGATCCCCCCTCCTCCACCACCACACACCCTCCTCCTCTCCTCCACCCCTTCCTTCCCCACCATCCCCTCCTCCTCCTCCTTCTCCTCCTCCTCCTCTCCCTCTGCAGCAGCCGCAGCAGTAGGGGCAGCAGGCCGCTCCCCTGCCGTCACACCCACCGGCACCACACTCAACCTCTCTCCAAGCCTAGCCAATGCTGGTGGCAGTGGTGGCAGCAGCGGAGACACAGGAGGAAGAGGAGCAGGAGGAGCAGCAGCAGCTGGGGCAGCAAGGGGAGGGGTAATTTACGACCCTAAGTTCGCTTTGAGGGTGTGTTTAGAGCGAAGGAGGATGCGGGGGTGTGTTTGCGTGTACAGTACCTTGGGAATGCATCAAGAGGCAGTAGCTCTAGCTCTCCAGATTGACGTGGCACTGGCGAAACGAGAGGCCAATAAGGCGCGAGAACAGGATCTCAAGCAATCGCTCTGGCTAATGATAGCGCGCCACGTCATCGAGCAAGGGCTAGCAGGCCGAGCTGTGATTTGCGGAGATGATACAGGCAGGAGTGAGAGGGAAGGGGAGGAGGAGAAGGAGAGTGGGAGGGGGGATGAGAAGGGGAGGGAGAATGAGGAGGAGAGTGCAATGCGGCAAAACGTTCGGAGAGCAATTGCCCTTCTGAAAGAAACCGAGGGTTTGCTGAAAGTCGAGGACATTCTGCCTTTCTTCCCGGATTTCACCTTGATAGACGATTTCAAAGATGCTGTGTGCGAGTCATTAGAGGCGTATGGACAAGAGATTGACCGGCTAAAAGCCGAAATGACCGAGGCGACCCGGGCGGCGGACACAATCCGGAGGGACATCCAGGCGCTGAGTCAGCGCCACGTCATCGTGTCCACGCGGGAGACCTGCGGCGTCTGCTCTCGTCTGATTCTCGCCGCCCCGCCTCCCCAGAAAACGCTGCTGGCCGGCTCTGCTGCACCTGGCGCTGCTGCTGGTGGTGGTGCTGGTGCTGCTGGTGGTGGGGGCGTTGGTGGTGGTGGTATTTCGGGTGCAGCAGCAGCAGTAGCAGCAGCAAGCCTGGCAACAGCATCAGCAGCAGGAGCAGCAGAGGCAACGCCCTTCTATGTGTTCCCCTGCTCCCACGCCTTCCACATTGACTGCCTGCTCACCCACGTGGTTCAACACTCTGATCCATTTCTGGTGAGGTGCTTTCCTGGTGAGGTGCTTTTCTGGTGAGGTGCCTAAGCACCTTTTTTTTCTTCTTCTTGGGGGGGTGGGCGAGGGGGGGGGGGGGTGGGGAGGGGGACTTGTACCACAGCATGTCTGCATTGCCACTTGTATCACCCTCCTTTTCCGAACTCCCTGTGATTCTCCTTCCACATCTGCCCCACCTCAGATGGAGCATGTGTTGGAGTTGAAGCGGCAGCTGCTGGGAGTGCTGGAGACCCCGAGGAGGGGTGGCAAGCAACGAGGCGCAGGAGCAGGAATGGGAGGAGCAGGAGTAGAGGGAGACAGTGACGTGGTGGACATTCATGCGGGACTATCTCCGATTGATAAGGTAAACCTTCTCACTAGCAGATTTGGATGTGGGTCGCATTGCTATCTGTCTGAAAGGATCTATTCTCGTTTCGTTTATTTGCGATAGACTTACTGTCATGCATACCCTTTTCCATGTTGCTGTGAGTGTCTTCTTCTCGTGTAATGGCAGGTGCGGCTGCAGCTAGATGAAGCGATTGCCAGTGAATGCCCTTTTTGCGGTTCACTTATGGTGGCTAGCACATCTGAGCCGTTGATCGCTGCTCATGAAGGAAATGTGTTAGACGCATGGAGCATTTGATTGTCTTGACCAATACTTGTTAAACCCTATCGGCCGTTGGCTTCTGCTAATGGAAAATCTGCTGCATGACCTCTGTTTGTAAATCCATGCAATTGCGTTCACAAGCTGAATAATGAATTTTTATCGCGATGCAACGTCATCTTTGTAATATGGTAATATATTTGATGACACAGACTTTGTACCTCACAGATTCCACTCTTACCGAGAATATCCCCGCAAACAACATGATCCGCGCCTCGTCCACAATGAACGTGCCGCACTGTAAGCACGTTCGCACTGTAAATCCTTCACATCCAGGCATCTCCGGACGAGGTGGATGATCGGCCACTAAACGTAAACCACGTCAGCTTTATTTAAGCTCCCTTGACAGCTTTGCTGGTCGTGGTCAGTCAAGCACAACTTTCATCCCCCCACACAGCATCGCGCCGCGAAGTCCCTTCACAACCATCACGCACGTACAAGAACCAGGCAAGGCAATGTCAGCAGATTTCACGAAACAACGAGCTGAAATGCGCGACGCGGGATCAATTCGAATGAATTCTGTGGATGGCCTATCATGGTTGGAAATTGCAGATCAAAACTCGCCCCACCTCCGCCACTGCCTGTCCAATTCCGCCTGCTTCGCTCTCCCGCTGATGTGCTCTCGTGCGTGCACCCACACACACGTGCATGAAACACGCTCTCACTGCGCTCAGTAGCAACCTGAAAACTCCCTCTCACCCACGTCGCGAGTTGTACCACACCGCATCCCATTCGAGCGGTGTACGTGTTGAGAGACAACGGAGACCCCCCCAGGTCGCTTCTCGCGGCGTGAGATGAGTGCGGCAGCATTGTGCTTGCGTGGCAACTCAAGGCGTACGATTCCACGGATGCAAGGAATCCTGTCAGTCGACCTCGGCAATGCGGGCGCTAGCCTAGCCATCGTCGTAGTCTTTCCTTTATCGACTAACATTACGACATTCACAAAAAGCTCCTAGTCGAGAGCCATAATCCACTATTCCCACCAGTGGCAGGTCTAGAGTTCTTGTGGCCTCCTTCCATCCCTGAGTCTCGTAGCCCACGGTTAGCCCGTCAGTCCTAGAGGCCTCGATTTATTAGCGAACGTTTTTTTCCTTTCACGAGTTTCTCCGGTCAAAGGTTGATGTTTAAATTGCCGCTAGCCTATTCGAAACTATGAAGCATAGGCGGAACCTTCGTCGCACTGCTGCAGTCCACCCCGAGCCGCGCTCGCTTCTCTTCCCTGAGGTCCCCATCCGCGGTTCGAGAGATGAAGGCAGAAAGCTTGCGACCGAGTCCCTTTCAGGAAGTAATGGCGCATCGTCGGGAATCGCGGTAGCGCAAATGACGCTGGATCAGGCTATTGAAGCCTCGGCGCGCGAGCAAAGGCAAAAGCAGCAGCAGCAGCCGCAGCCGGCACCGGCTCAGCCGGCACCGACCCAGCCGGCACCGACCCAGCCGGCACCGACCCAGCCGGCACCGGCCCAGCCTGCACCGACCCAACCCGCACCGACCCAGCCCGCACCGACCCAGCCTGCACCGACCCAGCCTGCACCGGTCCAGCCTGCACCGACCCAGCCGGCACCGTCACAGCCGGAAGTGAAGGAGCCGGCAGTGACGACGCAGCCATCTGTCACGCAGCCGCAGCCTGTAACACAACCACAGCCGCAGCCGCAGCCGCAGCCGCAGCCGCAGCCGCAGCCGAACGATGGGAGCACGCAACCGCCGCTATTCCCGGGCGTCACCCCCGCGCCCGTCGTCACCCCCACGCCCGTCAACAATCCCCCGGTCGCCAGCGGCGGAGGGTTTGGGATCTTTCCCAGCGGGCCGGGCGGGTTCACCCCCACCCCCGTGACGCCGGAGACCCCAGCTGTGCCGAACACTCCCGCGCCTACGACTCCTGTGCCCGCACCTACGACACCTGTCCCCACGCCTACAACACCTGTCCCCACGCCTACGACTCCTGTCCCCACGCCTACGACTCCTGTCCCCACGCCCAAGACTCCTGGCGTTCCCACGCCTAAAGGGCCTGTCGTCGATCCCACGCCTAAAACTCCTACTGTCCCCACGCCTACCACTCCCACTACTCCTGGCGTCCCCACTCCTACCACTCCTGGCGTTCCCACGCCCACGACTCCTGGCGTCCCCACGCCCACTACTCCTGGCGTCCCCACACCCACAACACCTACCGTCCCCACGCCTAAGACTCCTGGCGTCCCCACGCCCACAACTCCCCCAGTCAACCCCAGCGTCCCCACACCCGGAGCCCCGGGCTCGACTCCCACTCCCAAGGTTCCCCCAACGGTCCCCGGTGCTAAAATTCCCCCCGGCGTCCCAAATCCAAAGGTTCCGCCTGTTGCGCCTGGCTCCACGGCCGCGCCTGGCGTTCCGAGTCCTAAGCTTCCGCCGCTTGCGCCTGGTTCCACGGCCGCGCCTGGCGTTCCGAATCCTAAACTTCCGCCGCTTGCGCCTGGTTCTACGGGCGCGCCTGTCGTTCCGAAGCCCAAGATCCCGCCTGTAGCTCCTGGCAGTCTTGCCGCCCCCGGCGGGAAAACGGTCCCCGGCTTTCCGCGCCCCAAAGTACCCCCCGTTGCACCAAGCTCCGCCGCTGCTCCAGGTTCCGACTCTGCGCCTGGTTCCGCTTCTGCGCCGTCCTCTCTGCCGTCCCGCGCCCCTGCTAGCCTGTCCGCGCCTGGTTCCGCTTCTGCGCCTGGCTCAGCATCTGCGCCAGCTTCCGCACCTGCCAAGGTTCCGAAACCTGCCCCTGGCTCCGCCAAAGCTCCTGTCTTAGCGCCCGGTTCCACGCGCGCCCCATCCGGCGTGCCTAAAAACGGCTCCATCACCGCGCCGGCCTCGCTCCCCCCGCCGCGCACCGCGCAGCCCTCCGCCCCTCCCCCGCAGCTCTCTACCTCGGCAAACGCTGCGGCGACCCCCTACTCGACGACCCCTCCTGCGAACACGACCGCGACGGCGGACACTGGCGGAAACAGCGTGTCCGCGGGTGCGATTGCGGGGATCGCTATTGGTGTGACGCTGGGGTTCGTGTTGCTGGTGGTGCTGGGGCTGTACGTGTTCCTGCTGCTGCGGCGCAAGAAGGACGAGAGCGACGGCGAGAAGAAGGGGAAAGCGGCCGGTGCGGCCAAAGGGGCTACTAAAAGTGAGTATGCTGTCTGCTTTGTGTGTGTTTGCTCTGTGTGTGTACGCTGGGATTAGCGTGTGATGTATGGTGTTCAAAGTTGGTGGCTTTTTCCCACTTATGTCCTGCTTTTGCACGGTACGCACATGTACACACGTTCCTCCTTCCCGATCTTTCCCATCCTCCTCACCCCCTGCATTCCGCTGTTTCAACAGGCAAGGTACCATTCTACGCAGCTCCGTTCAAGACGAGTAAGGCCACCGGCAATCCGGAAAGCGCGGAGGTGCAAGACGGCGGCGAGTCCGGAGTGACAGGAATTCCGCCGGCAGCAGCAGCTGCGGCAGTGGCAGGAGCAGGCGCAGTGGCGACAGGAGCAGCGGTCGCAGCCGCTACCACGGGATCTGCCCCTGCTGAAAAAGCTGCTGACGTGGCATCTGCCGACGTGGCACCTGCTGGCGCGGCGGCTGCTAGTGGCGCAGTGAGTGCTCGCCCCAACGCAAGTCCACCAACTGCTAAAGCGGGGAAAAGCCTGACTCCTCCCCCGGGCGGCGCAAGCCCGCTGGCGAGCGCAGCGGGGGGTGCAACAGCAGCTGCAGGAACGGGTTCGGCCGCCGGTTCGACAGTAACTACGGCGGGCTCGGGTGCAGCAGGAGTGGCGGCGCCAACTGCGGGTGCGGTTGCGGGTGCTGCGGCGGCAGTAGCGGCAGGAGCGGCGGTGGGAGCGGCAGCTGCCACCGCGGCAACAAAGACGCCGGCAGCCGCGAGAGCCGCTGCTGTTCCTGCTGCAGGCGCAGCTGGCGCGGGGGCGGTCGCAGGTGCGGCGGCAGCCAAGTCAGGAAACGACGAAGACGAAATCGATCCGTCCGAACAGTGGTGGTTCCCTGCTGAAGAGCTTGACCAGGCTACGGAACGCTTCGCTCTTTCGAACAAGCTCGGGTCGGGAACTTTCGGAACAACTTACAAGGGCGTTTTGGAAGACGGGCAGGAGGTTGCAGTGAAAGTGCTGAAAGTGAAAGGTTCGCTGAGCGATGACGCATGGAAACGCGACGCGGAGGAGGTTTTCGCGATCCAGCACGAGAACCTGGTTACTTATCTGGGTTATTGCCTCGCCAGTTCGCAGCGAATGCTGGTGCAGGAATTTGTCGCGAACAGCTCGCTTGACGCGGCGCTGCATGGGAGCAACAAGCCAATCCTGGCGTGGAATTTCCGCATGAAGATCGCCAAGGGCGCTGCGAGGGCTCTCACATTCCTGCACGAAGAATGTAAGTGGCCGCGAACCTAGACATACCCCTTTCCAAATTCAGTAATTATTGTTTCCCTTCTTCCTTCTAGAAGCTCTGCATGTGACGCTGGTTTTAACCTTTTCTCTGTTTTGCTGTGGCTCCCACTCATTTCTTACAGGCAAGCCCCACATTATTCACAAGGACATCAAGTCATCTAACATCCTGCTCGACGCTCAGTACGAGGTCAAGGTAAGCATACCCCCCTGTGTTGTCCCAAATTCATATATCCACATTCAAGCTACACCAAGGAACATATCTACCTCTTACCTCGCATTATTAAGACATTGGGCTGACTTGTGTTTTTCTGTTGTGCTTTTGTTCTTTCTCTGCTCCCCCCTTCCTCAGCTGAGTGACTACGGCTCAGCCAAGCTGGCAGGAGATGCTGCCCTCACAACCATCGTCAGCTCGGCCGGCTCTTACGGGTGAGCAACAACACTCAGCAGCTGACATGTAGAGAGCTTTCATTGTGATGGATATGGTTGTATAAGGGTCTTCTCTGTTGCTGGTCAGCTCCCTCATGCTTCACCACTCACCCCCGCTCACCCCCTTCCGTTATGTGTGATTCCCAGCTACCTGGCGCCGGAGCATGCGCTCACAGGCAAGCTCACTGAGAAGTCGGACGTGTACTCGTTCGGAGTGGTCTTGCTGGAGCTTATAACGGGGAGGAAGCCCAGTGACAAGCAGAGGGGACAGAAGGACAGCCTGGTTGAGTGGGTGAGTGCCTTGTGTGATGTGGCTTCCATTGCATTACAAGGTATACATTGGATGACACATGCCCTGAGTGCACTATTCATGCCCCCTTTCTTTCCTCCCCTGACCTTACCAGGCTCGGCCGCTCCTTGCCTCCAACACGCTAAAGGAGCTGGCTGACCCGAATCTGGATGGCTGCTTCGGGGTGAAGGAGATGGATCGTGTTATTGTGGCTGCCTCGCAGTGTGTGAGGCAGTCGGCTGTCCTCCGACCAAGCATGAGCCAGGTAAGACGAGGTTTTTGTGGCAGCGATGTTTTTTTTTTTCAGACCCACAGAGTTGTGTGTTTTATCTGACGGCCCTAATTTTTCATGTGTGTGCAGGTTCTACGCCTTCTGGATCAGCAGTGACAAAAGCGGTAGAAGTTTGACTTGATCTAGGACACAAATGCTTTCTAGGTCGTGTGAGTCGCTTGGAAACATGCAAATGTAGAGCATGCTCCAGAATAAGCACTGAGTGCAAACGGCCTTCTAGAAAGTAGATATAGATGTATAACTAGATGTAGTTGTGAGATTGCATAACCTGAAGCAAATTCTTCTCCATGACCCAAATCCCTCTTATCAGCATCAGGCTGAATGCCTTCCCCGAATCATATGATTCGTTTATTTGAAGTGGCTCAAATTTACTGGTCAACCCCTCTATGAGTGATCCAACGCACCATTGAAGTCGGCCGCAAGGAGGCATCCACTATGTACAAGCCCAACCCAATGTTATGTCGAAGCGGACCGCACTTCGCCTTTGGCACAAGAATCTGCTGACAAGCAAGCGAGCCTTGGCGGCGGGGAAAACGAGATGGACGATCAGATTGCACGAGACGACCGTGCGAGGGTCCACGATTATTCGCTGATTGGATGTCGCTGACAGCGTATTGTCCACCTCATGACGGCAACGAATGACGGAAAGGCGACAAGAAAGTGCGTTTGGTGACCGTGAACGAAACGATCTGCAAAAAGCTCTCCCGAAGGTCAGGAAAAAGAGCAGACGGTCAGCCACGTGGGCACGGTGGCGAATAACAGAACCTCGCGGCGAATGATCAGAAACGTGTCAACAAGTTTCGTTTCGCTATTCGCAGCATGCATTCGCAGAGCCAGCTGACAAATTTGTGCTCTCGAATCTCTTCCCGTGGGGGAAGAACGAAATTGTTCGCAAGGTTTCCTGAAAATCGCAGCCCCTGAAGCTCCCAAGGCTTCGTTTTGTAGGGCGACTATCAAATAGATCCTCACTGCATTCGTCTCTCACAGGAGCAATCAACATCGCCAGCCACCAGAGGGGCTTTGCAAGAGCCACTAAACTAGCAGCCGTGGTGCTAGGTTGTTTCCAATTACCGTGACACAAGAATTTCAGTTCTTTGGCGTGTCCCGCTCACCTTAGCCCCTCATCCGCCTATCAATCTCTGTTTCTTTCTCCCTGCCTATTTTGCGATTAGTCGAACTTGTTAAGAACGCACACCTGTTGTGCTCGTCTGGGTTGTACGCCGTACTCGAAACAAAAACCGTTCAAATTCAGCTATCTCTTTCACGCGCATGGCAAGTGTGATCAATCACGTGACCCAAGGAAGCTGCTGTCTCACAGGAGCCACGGTGGTAGAAAGCTCTCGTACAAGGACTATCAATGCTAGCAGTGCAGGAAGCAACCACCTGTTGCCGTTGAATCCCCGGCGTGCCTCTGTTCCGATCTCGAAGCTGCGACGCTGCGAATCCAGGGCTCTTGTTTCGCCAGTCCCTCTCTCGCGCTCTCGCCATTGCCAGTTACGGCATTCGTCATTCTTTTCTGGAGAAACAAACGTTCGATTCACGCTTTCGACCGATGGGTCTGCGTGTCTGGACGAGGGTTTAGAGCAACCGCACTCGACGAGAAAGGATGTTAGTGCTCCGCTCAAAGTAAGGTCCCAAGCGGCGATTAATCCCCATGAAGACTTTAGGGGACGGCAGCAGGATGGGCTGTCGATGGTTTGGAGGGAAACTAGGTGAGTCGCCTGTTATCCTTCCTTCCGCCGATCAGGAATCACTACTCTAATACTTGGCTATCAGTAACCTCATCCTGACTTATGTGCTGGACGGCTTTTTTTAACGTCTTTAAAAACAATCTACGGAGTCATGTGGGAATTAATGCACGCAGCAAATTGTTCATATTTTAAAGCCAGGGTCTCAAGTACTACAAGTGTTTTGCAGTTGCTGGTGAAAGTTGGGCTGCGATTGGTTGGCGAGGTGAAAGGTTTGAAGTGGGGAGAAGCGAGGGGTGCGAAGTGAACGCAAATCGTTGGGTGTACTCGAACCTTCTAGGTTTGGAAACTTGGTTCGGAGCCAAACCTAAAATGCCCCCAACTCATCGAAAGTCTCAAGTACTCAAAAGTGTTGTGCAATCGCTTCTGGGGTGTGTCGCAAGCTGATTTTTCAACCCAACCAGAAAGAACTTCGTCGGCAATAACTAGGCTCCTTAGCTTACTTGAGACCCTGGCTTTAACTAGATTTGAAACTCCTCCTTTTTTCCTAAGTCAATTTCTCCTGTTTTTTCTCCACACAGACGGTCGCTGAGAAGGATCTCTCCAAAGGGCGTCGCAGGGGAGCTCATCAAGCTCGCCATCCCTGCTGTCATCGCCGGATTGGCGGAGCCTGTCGCGCAGCTCACGGAGACCGCATTCATTGCACGAACCGGTAAACTCCACAACTTCATACTTTCTGAAAACATGCTCTTTTTATTATTGTTCAATTTATTTGTTTCTGAAGTGCATTGCTTCCGGGTGTCTGCAGGAGCCGTGAGTCTCGCGGCCATTGGCGTGTCCATCTCTGTTTTCAACCTTGTCTCGAAGGTCTTCAACTTCCCCCTCCTCAACATCACCACCTCTTTCGTCGCTGAGGATGGCGAAGCAAGAGCGAAATCAGGTAACTTTCGAGCGTTCAGGTAATTCAGGTAACAATCAGGTACTGGGACTGATTGATTGATTCGTATGCGTTCTCATGTTGAGTTAAGGCTCCTCTAGACGACAATCAGATCTTCTCGTCTCATTGTCGTCTCAATTCAAAATCTTCTCATACCCTGCCCTTCTCCTGCTGTATTCGCTCCCCACAAGCAGCAGCAGCATCAGCGTCCGCAGCAGCAGAAGCAGCGGGTGAGAAGCGAGTGGTGCCTGCGGTGTCAGCAGCGCTGCTGGTGGGCGCCATTCTCGGAATTGTCGAGGCTGTGGTGCTCGCCTCTGCTGCTGCACCCATTCTCGGAGCCATGGGCGTCCCTGCGGTGTGTGTCTTTGTCCTACTCCTTGTTTAGTGCTCTGATTGAAGAAGTGTTTTGAGAGGTCTCAAAACAATTCTCGGAGCCATGGGCGTCCCTGCGGTGTGTGTCTTGTCCTACTCCTTGTTTAGTGTTCTTCCTTATTGTGTCTTCTTTAGTCTCCTTTCTCTTGTCAGTTTGACTCTCATTCTCAGTGTAAACAAGCCCACTTCTCTTATGTAACATGGATTCAACCGTCTCTTCCCCTCCCTCCCAAGCCTTCCTCCGTCTCCCTCCCCTTTTTCCTGGCTGCCCTTGCAACCTGCTATGTGACTTCTACTCATCTCCTCATTTCCTTGCTCCTCCCCCGTTTATTCCCTTCTCGGCTCGCCTGTGTCCTGCAGACCTCGCCCATGCGCGGGCCAGCACTGCACTACCTCTCCCTCAGGGCATTGGGCGCGCCTGCTGTGGTGCTGGCTCTGGCCACTCAAGGGGTTTTCCGAGGCTTTAAGGACACTCGCACTCCGCTTATCGCTCAAGGTACGCATGAACCTATCACTGAACGTTTTTCCTTTTTTCCCCCGTGTATATCTGTTGTCGCACTGTTTTTTCGCTTTCTCCACTCCTTTCCCTCCACCCCCTCCACTTCCCCGTCAGTGGGAGGCAACATCGTCAACATCGCCTTGGATCCGCTCCTCATGTTTGCATGCGGGCTGGGCGTCAGCGGGGCAGCGTTCGCCACAGTGACAGCGCAGTACAGCATTGCGGCCTTCATGCTGTGGCAGCTCAGCCAACGCGTGGTGCTCATGCCTCCCCGCCTCTCTCACTTGAAGCTTGACCGCTTCCTCAAATCAGGTGAGTATAGAGGTCTTTCAATCTCTCCTGATTCAAGACTTGTCACAAGTGAGTCTCAGGCTGCAGCCACAGTGACAGTGACAGTGACAGCGCAGTGCAGCATTGCAGCTTTCATTCCTGCCTCCCCTCCCCGCCTCTTCATACCTGCCTCACCGCTCGCCCTGCATGGAGGTGACTCTCGCCACCTCCATGGCAGCTCCTCACTTCAACCCTCGCCACCGTTCTTGACTCCTCCCTGTTCCAGGTGGTCTCCTGCTGGGTCGCACGCTCGCTCTGCTCTACACCATGACTCTCGCCACTTCCATGGCAGCACGGCAGCACTGCTTCTGACTGCTCTCCACCACTCTGTACTCCTCCCTTGTGCAGGTGGTCTCCTGCTGGGTCGCACAATCGCCCTGCTCTGCACCATGACCCTCGCCATCTCCATATAACCACCTCGCTTCACCCCTCTCCACCGTTCCTAACTCCTGCGTTGTGCAGGTGGTCTCCTGCTGGGTCGCACTCTCGCCCTGCTCTGCACCATGACCCTCGCCACCTCCATGGCAGCGCGGCAGGGCCACACGAGCATGGCGGCGCATCAGATCGCCATGCAGATCTGGCTCGCAGTGTCTCTCATGTCCGACTCCGTGGCTCTTGGCGCCCAGGTGAGGGAAGCAAGGGGTGGGTGGGGAGTGTGAGTAAGGGTATGAGGAGGCAAGAAGTCGGGCAAGGCCAGATCGCCAGCATGGCGGCACACCAGATCGCCATGCAGATTTGGCTCGCAGTGTCTCTCATGTCTGGCTACGTGGTTGAAGAAGTGCTTTGAGACGTCTCAAAACCTTCTTCAAACACGTGGCTCTTGGTGTTTAGGTGAGGGAGAGGGGGGGTGTGAAATCAAGGGAGAGGGGTGAAGGGAGACGGTAGGAGGAGGCGAGGCAGGCAGGCAGGGCCACACGAGCATGGCAGCGCTTCAGATCACCATGCAGATTTGGCTCGCGGTTTTGGTTATGTACGACCTGATGCTCTTGGCGCCCAGGTGAGGTGACTTTTGAGTCGACTTTTGAGTCGACTCAAAAGTCGACCTGATGCTCTTGGCGCCCAGGTGAGGGAGAGGGAGAAAACAAGGGAGAGGATAACATGGGAGAAGGGACAGAGGGGAGACAGGGGACACAGCCACACATGTATGGCGTTGCACCAGATCCGTCTCCCTCCTTGCCTCGCTTTCCCCCAGTTTCAATCCTCTCTATCCTTTCTTTGCTTGCCATCCCTTCAAATATTTTTGTCTGTGTCTCTGTTTCCCCCCCCTCTTTCCTTCCTTCACCTTCCCCCCCTCCGGCCCCCCCAGACCATGCTAGCATCAGCTTTCGCGCGCCACGATGCTCGGAGGGTGAGGAGGATCGCCATGCGAGCCACACAGATGGCTCTGCTCATGGGGCTCACCACCGCCGCCCTGCTCACCCTCGCCACGCCCTACATCCCCCGCGCATTCACATCCGATCACACTGTTCAGAAGGCGCTGACTTCCCTGATGCCGGTATGTAATGACTTGCATCCGTAGCTCCACTCCCTTTCTTCCACCTGCCTACTTCAACTCTCCTAATTCCACTCTCCTACTTCCACCCTCCTACTTCCACTCTCCTAATTCCAAACCACCCACTCTAATTCCTTCCTCCATCTTCCCATTTGCGAAACTTGCCACTTCATGGCAGCCATGTAGCCCATCACGTCGCCTATGTGAAGCGAGGTTGTTTTTGAGACGTCTCAAAAACAACATGGCAGCCATGTAGCCCATCACGTCGCCTATGCAACATTCGAACGACTCGCTTGAAAGTCTCTCTTTCACCCCATTTCCCGCTTCCGCCATCCCTCCCACGTGTCCCCCACTCCCCCAGTTCGTGGCGGCCACACAGCCCATCACATCTCTCGCCTTTGTCTTTGACGGGCTGCATTACGGCGCCTCTGACTTTGCCTACGCTGCCACTGCAATGGTGAGTCTTCTCTTGCTCCCTCCCTCCGTTACTGAGCCACCTCAAAGTGTGTCTTTGACGGGTTGCATTACGGCACGACCGACTTTGCCTAAGCCGCCACTGCAATTGTGAGCTCCCCGACTGACTTTATTGGAGTCACTTCTGCTCCCACCCTCCTTGCCACTTTCCATGCTCTTCACCTCCTCTTGTGTCTTCATGCCCTGCTGTTTCCCTCTGTTATCTCTCACCCCATTGCCAGATCACAGTGATGCTGCCCATAGCTGGAGTGCTGGCCTATGCGCCAAAGGTCATGGGCATCCATGGCATGTGGGTCGACCTCACTCTTATCCTCCCTGGCTCTCCCCGCCACTCCACGTTGCCAGATCACAGTGATGCCCCCAATAGCTGGAGTGCTGGCTTATGCCCCAAAGGTCATGGGCATCCATGGCGTGTGGGTCGGCCTTACCCTCATCATGACTGCACGCATGCTCATTGGCTTGGCAAGGTAATCCAGTTAATTTCTGTTGTTCTTGCTACTGTTATCTCCCAAGCCGGATTTGTTAGTGAGTTGGTTTTTTTTCTTCCTGTTTTCGGTTCAAAGCATTGTTCTCATCAACGTCATAGCTGCCAATTCCACATGCCCTTTTATTGTTACAATCGTTACAGGGTTTGCACTGCCAGTGGTCCTTGGCGCATACTCAAGGAGGCTTCTGACTCGCAGTCCTCATGAATTCATCAGCAACAACTGCTGCTTCACCACAAGTCATCTTGAAGCTCCAGGGCCTTCATGTTTCCAAACGAAGCAGCCGTTAATAACCAGGAATAAAATGAGTACGGAGAGTTTACGACATGGAGCAGCGATTATCAATCAGGAATAAAATGAGTACAGAGTTTATGACATGGTGCATGCTCGAAGGGTTTCCACATGTCTGTGGCCTATATGTACACCCATCTACTTTTGTGCAAGGAGGATATTCTTGTGTACAGGTAATTGTAATATCCCAAATGAACATACCGTATTTAGGTCTTTGCTGGAAAAACAGAGATTAGGCTGCTCCATGTATTACCAGGGTGGAAGAGTGAGAGTAGCAACACTTGATATGGAAACACTCTGTATCGGTAATACAGCTAATGTCCGTTAGAGCCCCTCCCGGTTGCCTTGTGAAGGGGGTCTGTAATCTAAACCTGCATTTCGCGTGGGGTTCGTACGTTTCGTTAGGCTTTATGCGTGCTTCAAAACTGAACATGGTAACCACCCGATTTGTCCGATTCACAACAGTAATGGTTGGCCCTACTTGTCCCACATGTGTGTTACAGGTTACTCAACGAATGTAAGAACAACGAAACAAGCAGCCTCATCAAATGTTCCTCTTAGTTCAAAACTGCCAAAACACCAATCACAACCAATCAGCTTCTCCCACATGGCCCCCAGCTCCATTCCACACAAACATCGAAACACGCACAAATGGGCACAAGGAGTGAACACTTGTGCTCAACAAATTGCCTACGACGCCTTGCATGGTGTGCCACCATCCTCAGGGTTCCGCACCGACTTCGTTATTGTCACATCCGTCGGGCTATGTGCCTTCCACGACGTGGTAGGCCATATCGACGGTCGTCCGTACCCACACCTGCTCGCCGCCCTTACAACGGCCACGGTGCTCCTGCGACACGAGGATCACGTTAGGAAAACACAGTAGCGCGCGGAGAAATGGCTTGGTGAAAAGTGATGATTTGGAATGCGAAAAATGGCATCGCGCGTTTCCCGTTTGGAACGGACGAGGGAATCGACGGGTCGAGCTATATCTTTGTAGCGTTCTGAAATGGGACGAGCCGATGGGACTGTCGTGTAGAACTCGTCAGAAAGAAAAGAACGAGCCGTTGGTGACAGCGGCTCGACATCGCGGCTCAGCTCTTTCAGTTGCAATGACGCGTCTGATTTGGCGACCCAACGCGGCGGAAGCTTCGGGTTAACCATTTGCGAAATGGCAGAAAAAAAAATGAAGGAACTTGATCGAGAGAGGTCGAATCTTCGAGTTGCGTGGATACTTTTAGTAGCTATGAACCAACACCCTGTGAACTCCTGAGAGCTGTGAGGATGACAGAGGGTCTGACCGATGCTTCGCCTAGGGGAATCAGGAATCAGGATGTGGTTCTGTCTGACTAATTTACCGCAAATCGTGCCAGTCACGACGATGGAAACGGGGCATTGTGAGAGGCGGGGGTGTGTGAGAACGATGCTCTTGTGAATTCGTTGGTCTGATTTTACAGTAACTTCGGATGGCGGGCGTGCTGTGTCACTCGTGGGGCCTGTTCTGTGTGGCTCGTCCTAGTCGTGTGGCCGTTGTTAGTTCCATGCACCTGTCTTGAATCTCCGCTTGTGTGGCTTGGTAACCACACGATGGAATGTCTGACGTGGGGTCGGCGAACAATGCCTGGCTGATAATGCGCTTGTACCCCACAGGTGCAGACTACACGTGGCAGTGTGAATCTGCCCAAATGTCTGTTACACGCACGATGAACCTCGCTTAGGTGGCGTGGCAGTCGGGCGAATGCGTTCACGAAACCACTCACGTTTCGTCCTTACATTTCGCCTGCCTGACTTCTGGCCTAGAAACAAGGCAAACCAGGGTCGGCCTGCCTTGTTCGGGACTGCACGTGCGTTGGTGGCCGCAGCGCGTGTACTGTAGCCAGCCATCCAGGTGCTTGTACTGTGGGAGCAGCAAGCAGGATGCGTGAGCTCGGGTGCAGCGTTTCCATCCGGTGCATGGCAAATTCGCGTGCACTGGTCGGGCATTAGCTGTATACGGTTTGGAAGTGGCAACCTGCAAATCGAACTGCCATTGCGCGACTCGAGATGTAATTCATTCAGTCAACCACTTTCAATGCTTCCACAGGCTCATACTCCTTAGAACCCCTTCAAAGCTCTCCAACTTCTTCCCAACGCCTGCCAACTTTGTAAACCCACGGGGATTTCCCACACATTACCCCCTTCCCACTTCCAAGCAACTCGTGCAATATTCGTGTTGCCCCTTCGTATGTGAGGCAATTCTAAAATTCTTGTCATGCCATATCACACTGGAGAATTGACCCGCGTAAAATAAATTTAAAAAAAAAAAGCAATTCCAAGAGTTTCATTGGTTCTAGAACCTTTGGCGCAGGTAATTCCGTAAGTTTGTCACCAGCAGGTTCGGTCGGGCCGCCTCCCGCAATTTTCAGGGCCAATGGACCAATGGGCAACCCTACAGATCTCGATTTTCTGGACCAAATTTATGGGTGGCCTGGCCCCCACGCAATCGAGGGTCCTGGGTTGTTCCCTCCCGCAGAGTTGTAGGGCCTCCGCCTCAACATACTGTATCATCCCCTTTCTCCCTCCTCCCCCTTTTTCGCCCCCTCGCATGTGCGCCGTTTTCCTCATAAACGCGAGTTTTCCCCTCCAACTTTCGTGCGCTGCCGTTCCGCGCGTCAGGATTCTTTCCCCGCAACCTGATGTCGTTGCGGACGACGAATTTGAGTCACTCTTCCCACCCTCGCTGTCTCAACCGAAACCTGCCGCGGTAGGCCGTTCTAGGCTGACGTGGCAGCCGTCCTGAATGGCGTGGCATAGAGAAAGTATGCGACGTCGCAGCTTTAGGGTCGTAATCTCGACGCTCCTGTTGGTGGCGTCGTCTTGCGCTCAGACAGCAGGCGGAAGCAATGGCGGTAGCATCCGTGGAAGGATCAGCGGAAGTAGACGGGGAATGGTGCAGCTTTTAGCAGCCGGAGAAGCGCCTTCCCGCCGCCCCATGCGGTTCTATCCCACAATGGCGGCTCCCACGGGTCAGAACGTGCGACGCGGCGTTTCTTTGCCCACGAGCTATTACACAACAACGCCGCAATCAACGGACGTCTCCGATTCCGGCACTATCGCATCCTCCACTTCGAACCGCACCATCGGTATCGAGAGCAGCGGTAGCGTGAGCAGCGGAAGTGTGAGCGGCGACAGTCGGAAGAGCGCGGCCGGCGCGGCCGGCGCTGCCGGAAATACTCAGATAAAGCCGTTCGCGGGCCCCATAGGGATTAGTCCGGGGTGGAACAGCCTTCAGTGTCGGAATAGTCCGTACTGCGGGGTGATGTACGCGCCGATTAAGGTGTACGTTATCTGGTACGGCAAGTTCACGGCGACGCAGAAGAAGCTAGTGCGCGCATTCACGCGCTCGCTCAACCCCAGCTCGGATACCTCTATAACGGGTACGTTTTCTCGAATTGTTGCAAGTTTCAACTGACATTTGCGTTTCGCATTTCCGTTTTTATATTCGTATTCCGCCACCCCCCCTCCCCCACTCCCGTTCCCCAATCCTCCTTGCCCCCTGCCCCCTTTTTCCTGCCTCGGATCTTCCGCGCCTCTCGCCCTCATTCTCCCCCTCCCCCTCGCCCCCACAGCGACCCTATAGCGGAACATCAACCGCGCGTCTGCCGACGCCTTTCCCCCCCAAACCGCCTTCTTCCCCTTCCCTTCCCCTTTGCCTGCCCCCCATCCCTCCTCCCCCACCCCCACCCCCCTCCTCTCTCCCTTTCCCCACACAGTACCCCTATGGTGGAACATTAACCAGCTGTACTACGACCGTAACGGGCGTTTCATCTCCAGCTCCGTTACATTTGCAGATGAAACGTCCGACACCGGGTATTCCCGAGGCTCGAGCCTCAGCGACAGCGAGATCGACTCGCTCGTCTCGTCCGCCATAAGCAGCCAAAAGCTGCCGTACGATCCAAACGGCGTGTACTTCGTTCTCTCGGATGAAACGGTCAGCCAGGTGAGATGACACCCTGAGATGACACCCTGAGATGACACCCTGAAATGACACCCTGAACCCTGAATGAGGCATGTAGACCCAACAGCTATCTATGCTTTCGGGCAAAATATGTGCTTCCAGACCCACAGGGGCTAGTAAAAGGGCCTACAGCATTATTCAACTCAAGTCTCCCCTCTCCCTCCGCCTCTCCCTCCCCTTTTCCCTCCCCTTTCTCCCCCCACCCCCCCCCCCCGTATCCCAGTCCTCTCAAGGTTCCTCCTTCTGCACGCACTACTGCGGGTGGCACACCTACACTCCTCGTCTCCGCCAAGAGCCGTGTGTTGAGGTGCCGACTCAACTCCTGCCTCCCCATTTCCCAACCCCAACCCCAACCCCAATCTCCCTCATCTCGTATCCCAGTCCTCTCAAGGTTCCTCCTTCTGCACGCACTACTGCGGCTGGCACACCTACACAGACGTCCCGGGCAAGGGCCGCGTGGTCAGCGGCTGGGTGGGCAACGCCAAGACCCAGGTGAGCCCATTTGCTCACTGTCATCTCTGGCAGGGATCACGTTGCTAGCGCCACCTATCCTGGCCCATCGAGAACACATCAGCTTATTCTTGTACTTGTACACAACCACCCCCCCCCCGCTCCTCCGCCGCTCTCCAAATCTCTCCTGCGCCCTGTGTGTACAACCCCGCCCTAAAGCCAGGGACGTACGGCCCTGCGCACAGTGCTCCTCCTCCTGGCCCCACTCAAATCGTTGCAGGGATTTTCTGGAATTCTCAGAAAATCCCCCACAGTGCCCTTTCTCCTGGCCCCGCTCAAGTCGCATCTCCATCCTATTTTCCAGCCCCCCCTCCTTTTTTCCATCCTTCCCTTCTCCACACTCCTTCTGACATGCATGTGCAAACAATGACCTGGGAGCTGCATAACCAGCCTCATTTCAAGCTCATCACACCAGCCTCTCCCAACCGGGACAAGGGCATGTCCGTGTATGGACACACGCGCACCCGATTCCCCCTTCTCTCCCCCCCTCCCCCACACACACACGCAGTGCCCTAGGAGCTCCATCGCGGGCCTCATCTCAAGCTCCTCCGCCTCCCCCAACCGGGACAAGGGCATGGATGGGCTCCTGTCCGTGTATGCACTCACACGCACCCAGTTCCCTCCTCCCACCCTCCCCACACACGCAGTGCCCTAGGAGTTGCATCGCGGGCCTCATCTCATCTTCATCCTCCTCGCGCAACCGGGACAAGGGCATGGATGGGCTGCTGTCTGTCTGTGGCATACTCTTATCCCCCTCCCCCTGCCACCACCAACCCCCCATCCACAGTGCCCTAGGAGCTGCATCTCTGGCCTCATTGCCTCCTCATCCTCCTCGCCCAACCGCGACAAGGGCATGGATGGGCTCCTGTACGTGTACTCTTATACCCCTTCCCCTGCCACCACCAACCCCCCATCCACAGTGCCCCAGGAGCTGCATAGCGGGCCTCATCTCATCCTCATCCTCCTCGCCCAACCGGGACAAGTGCATGTCCGTGTATGCACACACATACACACACCCGGTTCCCTCCTCTCACCCCCCTCCCCACACGCAGTGCCCTAGGAGCTGCATCGCAGGCCTCATCTCATCCTCCTCCTCCTCGCCCAACCGCGACAAGGGCATGGATGGGCTCCTGTCTGTGTATGCACATGAGGTGGCAGAGGCGACGAGCAGCCCGTATCTACAGACGTGGATGGACGACAAAGGGGATGAGAACGCCGATAAATGCGGATGGAAGTGAGTACTTTTTTACCATTTTTTACTCTCTCTCTCTCTCTCCTTTCAGCCCGCTCCTGCTTTTTTCTTCCCTGCTTTTTAGTTTCAATCGAATTTTTTTCTTTGATCTTCCTATTTTGCTACTCCCTCTCTCTTTCCCCCGTTTAACTTTCCATTTTATCCACATGCCCCTTTCCAAAACCCCCTCATTGCCGATCCTTCTCCTAACACTGTGTGCCTTCCTTTCACTCCCACCACTAGGTTTGGCACCGTAAACCATGACTCCTCGAACGCTCCGTACAACCTAGTAGGTGTGAACGGTTACAAGTTCTTGATTCAGCAAAACTGGGACTTAACAAAAGGTAGATGCGCAACCACTGTGCCTTACCCAGGCTCCAGCTCTTCATCACCACCATCAAAAAAATCACCGCCACCATCAGGCTATTCGGCACCCCCGCCACCGCCACCGTCGCCGCCACCTGGTTCAACTCTTGTTGAACTTTTGCAACTTCTCTGGAAGCTGTTTTTTGGCTCCAATAAACAGAGACAGCAAGCACCATCACCACCACCACCTCAAAACTAATTTGTATTTTTTGAAGTGTATATTCTTTCTAATCTGTACTTATTGTCACAGTATATCGTCACTAGTTGGTGGGAGAACTCACATTTGCCGAGGCGCGAATCTATGGCATTTGTCGGTGGGTCGTTGAACGGGAAACACCCTCAAAATATAAATGTTTTTTAGCTGCAAAATGTTCAGGGGCAGTTTCGTCTGGGACCATGAAAAGAAAGTTTCGAGTGTAGAAAATTTATCTGCTACGATTCGCGCTTGGTGCATGGCAGGGAAATGAAGTTATTCGCAACAAAAGTGTGGTCATATCCAATTTCGAGGGGAGGCAATACCTGGAAAACCGCCTGTGCACTTGCCTGATGACATCTCATGGTTGTGGCGGCCACGACACTTCGCCTGAGGGCAGGTGGGTGACCTGGTCTGTAGTATTTTTGCACAACAAATGATTGCTGTTTGCTTTGCTCACCTCATTCCTCCTAGTTTGGTAAGAATTTCGACGGCTCAAGTGCAGGCATTGAGGCTGAACGGCGCGTGCTGCGACGTGCGAGCCCGTGTGCTTGATAGCTTCTGCTAAACCAGGAACAGAGCACGTGGCAAAACGCGACGTCGGAAATGGTTATTAGCAACAGGAAAATGCCGCCCCGTTGTCGCCGCATCCGGCGTTTCTGTACAAGCCTCAACGGCAACTTCAAAGGCGCGCTTCCGCTGTTTCTGGGGCTTCTAATCGCGTTCCTTCAGCTTACCGCCATTCCCGTCGCCGAATCATCACCGCGAGCGTCCGTTACGGTAGGGATCTCAGAAACAGCGGAAGCGCGTCGATTTTTAAGTCGACTCAAAAATCGCCGAACCATCATCGCTAGCGCCTTAGGGATCTCAGCGTAGATCGCCGTTCGGGGCCTTTCCATTGCGAGGCGCCTCGGCGCGTAAAGCTCGCCGACGCCCTCCCAGCTTTTCCTAGTCTCCTTCTGGGCTCCTCAAAGGTCTTCCGAGCCTGACGCCCTTCCAGCATAGTCTCTTCAACCGTTTATAGCCGTTGGCGTATCACTCCAACCGTAAATTCCCTCTGCCCACCCCCCCGTTCCCGTTCCCCGCCTCTCCTCCCTCCCTCGCCTCGCTCATTCGCACCTTACCAGAGCAATCCCCCCATCAGATACACCTTCACCAGAAGAACCGGGCTCTTACTGGCAGGTGAAACCTCCACCAGCAGAAGCACGGATTCGGGCCAAAGGAGGAGGCTTCTCGACGAGACCCCCACGACCATCCGTCCCTTGGGAATTGCGCGCGTGTATAATGCGAGGTAGTTTTCAGCGGTGTACTGTTCTATACTGTAATTTGTGTTGTACTTATCATTAATTTCCTGCAGTATCGACGTACTGTAACGGTACTGGTGCTTTTATCAGGCAACTCTTCTCCGTCTGACGGTGGGGTTTGGATGGACTCGGTTTTTTTTTCTTTCTTTCTTTCTTTCTACTCGTTTCCTGCCTTCGCTGTCCTCTTCCTCCTGATGCCATCGTTCTACTTGTCTGAAACGAAGCGTTTTCCTATGCCCACGCCCCACCTTCTTTCTCCGCTTGCTCCCTACCTTGTCTGGTATTGGCAGCAACCACGAAACCGACGAAAGAGCAGGGACAGCCTCAGCAGCAGCCACAGCCGCTGCAGCAACAGCAACAACAGCATCAGCAGAATCCTCATCATCGGCAGCAACAACAGCACCATCTAGTAGCAGCAGCAGCACGAAGCTCCCATTCGTGCCTCAGGGAATTGACTTTCACTGGAACGACCTGGATCCCGATCAGATGGCCTTCTGTGCCGCGTCGCCCGCGCATTGCGGCGTGATGCACGCGCCTGTGGGGGTGTACCTGCTGTGGTACGGGGCCAAGTTCACCGAAGAGCAAAAAGACATCGTGCGGTTGTTTATCGCTTCCCTTGATGCAGACGCTTCCGATTCGGCTGCCACAGGTGGGTGGGTGAGCGGTTGGGTGGTTGGGCTGGAGTGTGTTGAGTGTTTCAACAGTGACGGATGCAAGTGCCTGTCAAAGTGCGCCTGCGGGGGTGTACCTGCTGAGGTGCACCTGTGGGGGTGTACCTGCTGAGGTGCACCTGTGGGGGTGTACCTGCTGAGGTGCACCTGTGGGGGTGTACCTGCTGAGGTGCACCTGTGGGGGTGTACCTGCTGTGGTACGGCGCCGAATTCAGCGAGGAGCAAAAAGACATCGTGCGGTTGTTTGTCGCTTCCCTCACTGCAGACGCCTCCAGTCCTGACGCTACAGGTGGGTGGTTTGGCTAAAGTGTGTTGAGTGTTTCAATAGGGACGGATACACGCGCCTGCGCCTGTGGGGGTGTACCTGCTGTGGTACGGAACCAAGTTCAGCAAGGAGCAGAAGGACATCGTGTGGCTCTTTCTGCAGAGACAATGGATAAAGTCGCCGCATGTGGGTGGGTGGGCTGCCACAGGTGGGTTTGAGTGATAAATAATGAATGGGTTCACCATCGAGGGTGTACCTTCACCCAGCATGCCTGCTATACAACACCTTCATCCTTTTGCCCTTCCACTCTCCCCCCCCACCACCCACCTCTAGCACCATTCCCATCCTAAACGCTCCTTCACAGTGCCTGCAAATGAGATCTGATTTGACCAGCACGTGCACTCCAACCAACCCCTTCCCCCCCCCTCTTTCCCCGTCCCCCCCCGCCCTCTCCAACCCCTCTCACACGGTTCTCATGGTTTCTCTTCTTTCAACCTCTCACTACAGTGCCAGCATGGTGGGCCATCAACACGCTCTACTTCGACCAGCAGGGCCGAAACATCTCCTCCAATGTGACTGTAAAGGGCGAGACTCACGACACCAAATACACGCGAGGCACCATGCTGCTGAGATCTGACGTGGAGAGGCTCGTCCAATCAGCCGTCAAGAGCGGGTCGCTGCCGTACGACTCGGACGGCGTGTATTTCGTCCTTTCTGATGAGGACGTTTCGCAGATGGACGATCCGAGCGGGACGGGGGGTACGCAGTATGCTCTGGCGTTCTGCTCACACTACTGCGGATGGCATTCATTCACTCAAGGGGCGGATGGGCAATCACTGATAATCTCATTCGTTGGAAATGCAGTCAACCAGGTACGAGCTCTTTCCACGTGACCTGGGTCAACACAGACGTACCAATGGTGTTCTGCTCGCACTACTGCGGTTGGCTTGGCACACATCACTCACGGCCAGGACGGGTGACCGCTTGTCATATCTTTCGCCGGAAACGCAGTCAATCAGGTACGCACTGTCTCGTTTACACACTGCCCAACCCCAACACCAATGCAATAATAAATACCCTGTACCCCACCAGTGCTCTCTCCAAACATCGAGGAACAGTACATGACACTTGCATATCATTGTACCCCAATCATGGTGCATAGCATCTCAAAATCAAGATGTTCTTTCAACCATCCCCACGCAGTGCCCGGAGGGCTGCATCCCGCCGTACCTGAACCAGCCCGGGGTGGTGGCACCGATCCACTGCATCCCATGGTATCTCGAACACCCCCCCCCTCCTCCTCCCCCCTCCCCCTTAAATCATTCCCCATCCCTACGCAGTGCCCGGAGGGCTGCATCCCGCCGTGCCTGAACCAGCCAAGAGCACAGGCGCTGCCGAACCATCCCATTGCGTCTCAGAACTGCTACCCCCAAAAACCATCCCATTGTGTCTCAGAACTGCTACCCCCAAAAACCATCCCATTGTGTCTCAGAACTGCTACCCCCAAAAACCATCCCATTGTGTCTCAGAACTGCTACCCCCAAAAACCATCCCATTGTGTCTCAGAACTGCTACCCCCAAAAACCATCCCATTGTGTCTCAGAACTGCTACCCCCAAAAACCATCCCATTGTGTCTCAGAGCTGCCACCCCCAAAAACCATCCCATTGTGTCTCAGAACTGCTACCCCCAAAAACCATCCCATTGTGTCTCAGAACTGCTACCCCCAAAAACCATCCCATTGTGTCTCAGAACTGCTACCCCCAAAAACCATCCCATTGTGTCTCAGAACTGCTACCCCCAAAAACCATCCCATTGTGTCTCAGAACTGCTACCCCCAAAAACCATCCCATTGTGTCTCAGAACTGCTACCCCCAAAAACCATCCCATTGTGTCTCAGAACTGCTACCCCCAAAAACCATCCCATTGTGTCTCAGAACTGCTACCCCCAAAAACCATCCCATTGTGTCTCAGAACTGCTACCCCCAAAAACCATCCCCATGCAGTGCCCCGAGGGCTGCATCCCGCCGTGCCTGAACTAGCCCGGAGCACCGGCACCGAAGCATCCCATTGTGTCTCAAAACTACTACCCCCTAAAACCATCCCCATCCCCACGCAGTGCCCCGAAGGCTGCATCCCGCCGTGCCTGAACCAGCCCGGGGTGGTGGCCCCAATCCACTGCATCTCATTGTATCTCGAAACCACCCCCCTCCTCCTCCCCCCACTTAAACCATTCCCCATCCCCTCGCAGTGCCCGGAGGGCTGCATCCCTCCGTACCTGAACCAGCCCGGGGCGGTGGCACCGAACGGGGACGCGGGGATGGACGGGATGGTGTCGGTGTTGGCGCATGAACTCGCAGAGGCCACCAGCAGCCCCTTCCTCGCCACGTGGTTCGACGACCAGGGCGAGGAGAACGCCGACATCTGCGCCTCAAAGTACGAATGTGTCATTCATTTTGTTCTTTTATATCTGTTTTTCTTTGTTGACATGCCAATGCGAAGATGAGCGAAGACCTAAGATTCATTCCAGGACATTCTGGGCCCTCAATGCAAATTCTCGGAAAACAGTGTAGCCCTAGTGGCAAAGGGGGTACTTATAGTAATAATGGGTGAGGACAATTCAGGAATCTGCTCTTGTGGGTACATATGTTTGTCTTTCGGACTGTGTAGGCTGTAGATTCGTATATGAGGGGATGGACACTGGACATGGGCATCCGAGGTACACTGTAGTTTTTCTCCTATGGTCCTTCCTTATGTTCCCCTGTCTCTTTCTTTTCAATCTGTTTATTCTGTCTCGCAGTTACGGTGATGTGATATCAGATGCAGCCAGTGGTGTGCAATACAACGTGGTGGGTCAGAATGGGGCACGATTCCTAGTGCAAGCAAATTTAGACCCACAAGCAGGGAGTTGTATGATTTCACCAGTTGCCGTCAACTCTCCCAGCGTGGATAATCCCATCATTGGGGAACCCCCTCCAAGCGTGGATGTGCCGGTTGAGGAGCCACCTCCACCATCACCATCATTCCTAGATAAACTAATAGAGTTTATCACTCACTTTTTTGGCTTTTGATAGTTCATGCTGGGCCATGATAAAAGTTGGGCATATTTGTAAATAACACCGTTCGTTTGAACCACACTGTACCCCTCTTCGTTGTCGTTAGATCGCCGACCCATGTTTTATCTAGGGGTTACAGTACAGTGCCGAGTCTGGCTGGTCAAGGCACCGCCGAATTCCCCCCACCATCGCTTTGCCGAAGAATACGACAATTGCGGCAGCCAATAAAGACAAGCTAGTGATGTTCTCCGCGTCACGACGATCCGGATCGCGCTTTCGGAAAACCGAGACACATGCGACTCGCCGACATCATGTGCACCGAAGAGGGGGCTCGCATGAAATCGTCCAAGCTCTCAGTAACCAGGATGTGCAGGGGGTTCACAGAGGAACTCGCGAATTCGCAAACCGTTCGTTCCTCGTTGTCGCCGACTTATACATTCGCACCCATAATTCATTTGCAACCAGAACCACAAGCATAGCTTTTCTTCGACATTCCGTTTTCATCCTCTCCCACACGGCATCAGAGTTTGGCGCAGAATATATTCTTTCAACTCTCAGTGGTCGAGCAAGCTCAGCGATTCCCAATACACGAATCCTCCATAAGCTTCAGATCAATTCGTCCTTCTGGAGTCTTCCTGCACTAATAGAATTGAAATATCGTTGGCACACGACGATGGCTCGTTCTCGACTTAGCTCGCTCTCTCCAGCCATCCCATTCTTTTTCCTCGCCCTCTGGGCCTCGTTCCTAAATGCATCGTCCGCAAGCGATCTGTTTCCATCCATCCCGGAAAGCCGCACCGATGTAAGTTCTGGCTGTAAGATTTTCCTGAGTAATGCCTTCAAGGCCGTGACATTGCTCAAATGTGGGTTCAACGATCGTTGAGTCACACACATCTGGGCGTCATATGAATATGTCGAGAGATACTGCATCTGACGATCAATGCGGCACATCCTCATGCCGCACTTTCTTCCCACGCTTTCCGAAAATCCCGCCTCTCCAGCAATGGATCCACGCGATGCGTCGGACATTCAGGGTCTCGTACGCGCCCATTCGCGGCTCTCGCATCAGCATACGGGGTTGGCGCCTCAAAAGTCATTTATTCTGCATATCCCGACGTCCCCTCTCTCCAGGAATGGAGCGCGATGCGTCGGTTATCCAGAATCTCGTACACGCCCATCCGCGGCTCTCGCATCAGCAGGCGCGGTCTCACGGAAATCGCGTCTTCAGGAGGAATCAGAAGCGGCAGCGCGAGCATGCGACAAACGAAGCTTCCGCATGGAGTCAGAGCTCTGATCGATAACAGGTGTGTGAACGCATCTGCTCTGACCAAGACAGGTCATTTCTGAAACATCACTCCTTTGTACAACTCGTGATGTTCAACACGATGAACAGCCGCCTCTTGCATCATGATGCATCGTCCGATTTGACGCAAAGCAATAGAGTCTCAGGGACGGAATTTCCCTTAACTATCATGTCCCTTTCTCATAATCCCCTGGTACTTTCCACGCGTCCTATCCCTGCAACAACAGCGCCCAAGTAGGCGCATCTGCGTCGAATCCCCCGCCCAAGAACATCGGCTACCACTGGGACGATCCCAGTGCCGCCTACATGTGCTCCGCGAACGCCAAGTACTGCGGAGTCATGCACGAGCCCATCGCAGTGTACCTCGTGTGGTACGGCGTGTTCACGGAAGCGCAGAAGCAGATTATGCGCACGTTTATCGAGTCGCTCAATACTGGAAACAGCAACGACACATCTCTGACCGGTAATGCTCTCCAGAGCCCCCCGCCCTTCGTCCCTGTGTGGCATCATACGTGGCATCATATTCACGTTCTCTCCATCACAGTACCTCTCACAGCATGACGCCACGTACTCCATTTCTCGCTAACCTTCCCTGCTCTGATTCCCCTTGAACATTGTTGGCTTTCTTCCTCCTTTACCAATATGCTCACCCGTTCCTCCTGCCAGTTACCAAGTGGTGGAACATCAACGGGCTCTACTACGACGCTCAAGGCAACTACATTTCCGGATCCGTCACTCTCAAGGGCGAGATCGACGACACACTCTACTCCAAAGGAACCACTCTGTACAACTCTGGCGTCGCCGACCTCATTTCTTCCGCAGTGAACGACGGGAAACTTCCCAATGACAGCAACGGAGTGTACTTCGTCCTCGGGGATTCCAAAGTGGCTCAAGAGGACGACTCAAGCTACTCTCAGTCAGGATTTTGCAGCAGCTACTGCGGATGGCACGCGTACACCCACGACAACCTCGAGCTCGTGATTTCTTTTGTTGGTAACGCAGTAACCAGGTGCCCGGAGGGATGCATCCCGCCGTACCTGAACCAGCCGGGGGCGGTGGCACCGAACGGCGACGCGGGGATGGACGGGATGGTGTCGGTGGTGGCGCATGAACTCGCAGAGGCCACCAGCAGCCCCTTCCTCGCCACGTGGTTCAACGACCAGGGCGAGGAGAACGCCGACATCTGCGCAGGAGACTACGGGGATGTGACCCGTGATGCGACCACGGGAGCGTATTTCAACCTAGAGGGTGTTCGGGGATCAAAGTTCATCGTACAGGCGAATCTCGACCCAGTTACCGGCCGCTGCGTAGTGCAGTCTGACGGGCCTGAGGCTTTGGGAAGTCCGAGCGAGCCTCCCTCTTCCGCTGGTACCACGCCCAGTCCGCCACCTGCTTCAGAGCCACCAGTTACCGTTCCCACACCCCCGGTTACCGTTCCTACGCCTCCTGAAACTGTCCCAGAGCCACCCACCGTTGCTACACCTGAGCCACCAGTAACTGGAACGCCCTCAGGAGGGAGTACCTGGGATGCACTTGTTTCCTTCTTCAGTAGCTTGTTTGGTTTCTAATTATGTATGAACTATACAGCTATACCACCCTAGAATGTGTTGCAACGCACAGGTGTGTTCGGTTTCAGAGGACCTCGGCTCTGATGCAACTCATCATTGGTGCAACTGATGCTTATTAATTTGCATGGCCTGTATGGGTGATTGTTTTACAAAAAGTATGAGGCTTTTATTGAACCTCATATACCATCACTGTATAGTGTCTGCCAACAGCGGATCTTGGACAAAGGTCGCGGAGGTGTTGATGATGTACATTTGCAGTTTGGACTGCGCTTGTTTCTATAACCGCCACGCGAAACCCTTGCAGCACCAAAATAAATTCACACGACAGCGTGCGGGCAGAGTTCAGGTGAGCGAATGTTGACCGGAGCGGGCAGACCTTGACCTAGCCTAACCGAATGTTGTGCGGCATGCACGGCACTCACTCGAAGGAACCGAATTTACGTTCTAGCTCATCCCTTTTACAGAGTTGTGAAAAACGTTTGTATTTGGAAAACCCGGATAATTGAGTTCCAGTCCTGTCGGAATTTGGTTCCAACTAGGATCGATTTCCAAAAACTCTCTGGATCGAGTCTTCCACCGTAAACTTCAGCACTTACAGAACCCCGTCTTTCTCTGAAGTTGGACCCGTTAGAAAGGCAGCCATGCTCAAACACTGACTGGAGAATGGAGGAGAAGTCAAGGCGTTTATTAATGAGAAGTGGTGTCGTTCTGTGTAGTGTGAAAATCAAGTGGGACTAGTCCTTTCCAGCTGCTGATGTTTGTAGCGTGGGGATCCGTGATAAGTCGATCAACATTCAAATTCGTAGTGCAAGTTCTCAATCTTGTGCGGATCCGGTACAATTGGTACGGGTTTCTTATCCGTGAAAAGTCGACTACTGCCCGTGACCTCCGTCAACAAATAACAACTTAAAGACGACAAATTTCGGCAAGCAACAAACAATGAGCGACTCGACGTGACCCGAGGTGAAAGATCGGTGTGTGACCTACGAGACGTGGGAGAACCGCGCCTAGGGCCACCGTCCAGTCGACAATCCACGCCATTCCCATCTGATCTGACCAACAACTTTTTGACCGCCTAAAAGGTACAACATGGGATCGTTCGAGCTGTGCTGCGCCTGCCCAAGGCCGATTCAAACGTTTTCACAATAAGGCTTCTGCTGCCCACCGCTGGCGCCTTCTGGCAGGGTTGCACTGTGCCAGCTTTGGAGATTTGAAAATTTGCCAGCTGTTTCCATCAGTTTGCGCTGCATTGCGACGTGCGCTATTTGCGCCCTCAAATCGAATTGGTCGCGCAATGTTTGGACTCTCGGCCCTACTCACCAAATGCCTCAGCGCCTCCGCGTTTTAGGTTCCCTGTGCGTCACTTAGGGAGCGACTCACCACCACCATCACCACCTGGCACCGATTATCGAGAACCATCTCCGTTTTCCTCTCGGCACCAATCGTGGGCCAACACAAGTCAGTACACCACACCCAGCACAGCAGACGATAATCCGCACCAGGCATTTCCCCATTGCAGAGCGAACGTGACCTGACCCACCAAGCACCCATTCGGTCCACTTTAGTCGGCGCAGCCACGTCACAGTTCTTTGTGTGGCCCCTACCGTCGCGCCTCGTGTGAATCAGTCCGTCGGGATATCTCTCCCAATACTAAAAGCCGAGCTACCAAAGTTGCACACTGCTCAGCACTACGACTTGAGGTCGGGTCTTGGTCGAGTCCCGCCTGTATTGTGCGATAGTGTAACTCCAGTTTCTTACTCCAGAGTCCAGTTCAGGTCCCATGGCAATTAAAAGTATCAGCCGGCCGTCGTTCCATATACGAGCCATCGTCGCACTCCTCCTCTTCGCCGCACTCTCAACCATCGCCTGCGCGCGACAGCACAGACGACTCCTCGTAAGTCGTCGCCATTGTCGCACAGACTCGTCTCGCCTCGCCCTGCAATTTTCGATGCGCCATAGAAAGAAATACCTGACCGGCCTTCAGACGCCGTCTCATTATACACCTCAGTTAGCAAGCTATTGAATTGGTGTCAATTTCGAGGCATAGCTGGTTCAAGCATGAGTCGTAGTCATAGCTGTCCTCCTACTTCCCACCCCTCTCCCCCTCCTCCCCTCCCCTCTCCCCCACCCTCTTTCTTCCCCCCATATGACTATCCTGTTCTCCCCCTCCCCCGCGACCCTGTGGCCTAAACTCTCCTCTTCCCTCGCCTCTCCCCTTATTCTTCGCGCGCAGAAATGGCGCAAGCGCACGGACGATAACCTTCTGATGCGCGGCGCGATGCCAGAGGGAATCGCGCAAGTCGTCGACACGAGGTGAGCGGTGCTGCGCTAATACCACCATTCGCGGAAATGCATTTCTCCCCAACTATTAGCACCTCAGCCTTGTTCTCAATAGTTTCCCACGTTCGCTTCTCCCATCTCACCCATCTCTCCCTTCTCCACCCTATCCTCTGTCTTTCCTCCCGCCTCTGCCTTCACAACAACAGCGAACCCGTCTCCTCATCTTCCGCTGCTGTAAACTCCGCGGCTCGTTCCGCCTCCGCCGCTTCTTCCGCTTCCGCCGTGTCTTCCGCCCCCGCCCCTTCCCCCGAGGCTGTGAGCCAGATGATCGCCTCAGCGCTCCGCGCACCTTCCTCCTCCGCCTCGATCTTTCCGCCGCGCCACTCCCCCGCCTTCCACAACATCGACCCGCATTGGGATGATCCCGAGGTTTCCAGCGTGTGCAACCCCGTTACAAAGTACTGCGGGGTTATGTACAAGCCCATCTCAGTGTACCTTATATGGTACGGCAAGTTCACAGACGCGCAAAAGCAGATCATCCGCACGTTTATCGAGTCATTCAATAACAGCAATGACACCGACGCTACAGTCACCAACTGGTGGAACGTCAATCGCCTATACTACGACGCGATGGGCAACCATATCTCTGCATATGTGACTCTAAAGGGGGAGATCGACGACGCAGATTACTCCAAGGGCCGCACTCTGCTCAGCACCGACGTGGCGAAACTTCTCTCGTCCGCGGTTACCAGCAAGCAGTTCGCGAACGACCCGAACGGCGTGTATTTCGTCATGGGAGACCAAACGGTGGCGCAAGAAGATGATACTGCTCCGGAGAAATCCGCGTTCTGCAGGAACTACTGCGGGTGGCACTTCTACACGCGCGATGCTCTGGAACTCCCCATCGCATTCGTTGGCAATGCCGCCACCAGGGTAAGTCGCAACCGCAAACAACCATTCCATGATTTATCATGCTCCGTAGCAGGTCCTGATCGTGTTGTGCTTGAGACCCACCGCTCACTCTCTCCTTCTCCATCTTTTTTTCACCCTGCCTTTCTCCTTCCTCCCACAGTGTCCCAAGCGCTGCATCCCTCCTCGTCTCAACCGCTGCGGAGCAGTGTCCCCGAACGGGGACGCGGGGATGGACGGGATGGTGTCGGTGTTGGCGCATGAACTCGCAGAGGCCACCAGCAGCCCCTTCCTCGCCACGTGGTTCGACGACCACGGCGAGGAGAACGCCGACATCTGCTCACACGAATACGGGGATGTGAAGAAGGATGCGGTTACCGGCGCGGTGTATAATCTTGTTGGCGTGCGCGGGTCGAGGTTTTTAGTGCAAGCAAATCTGGACCCTGTAAGGGGGGCGTGCTCGATTGAGGCGGATGGGCCCGGAGCTGATGTTTTGACGAGTCAACCGGGGTGGTTGTGAGAGGAGAAATGTTGAGACGTGAAGCGGCGAGTGTGGAGTAGTAGAGGGTTTTTTTCGCCCTTTCTGGGTGAACGGAGAGAGAGTGGTTGGTGTGAGGGTGGTCTCGCTGCTGCTGTTGCTACTGCTGAGCTGGTATGGTGGCAGTGCTATTGCTGCTGGTGCTACCGCTGGTACTACTGCTGGTGCTACTGCTGGTGCTGGTGGTGCTGCAGCTGGTGATGCTGTTGCTGCTGCTGGCACTCCGCTGCTTAACAAGAGGTCTGCATCTGATGCCATTTTGTGGCAATGGGTGGTTGTGGAAGCAGGTCCACATCAGCAAAGTGGCACAGCACATGACTGGGCCAGATGCTACGACAGTTCGCGACTGTCGGATGCACTCCGAGAGCTCTCCGAGAAACTCAGACCGTTGATTGGGACACATTCACAGCACTCACGATCCTCCCTCCCTGCAACTCCTTCTCTTTCCTCTGCTCCCTCCACTAGTGCACTACTCTTCCCAAATAACCAGCTCCCTTCTCCAGCATCTGCAGTCAATGCAATGCTGCTATGCAGTAGAAGCAGCGCCAGTCACAGGTTACAATATAAGGCGGTACAAGGTCTCTGGGGAGGCCTTGGGTGAAGAGTCATCTGAGAGATGGGATGGTCTGGTAGGGGACCTAACCTGAGACCTTTTACCGCCTCATATGGGACACGAAGAAAATGGTTGTATCAATCTACATAAGTATTGCTATGTTGATAGGTTAGATTTATGCAAGACAAGTTTTTGTTTATCAAGCCTTGAAAGGATTGGAGTGGGTCATATTTGAATATACCTTATTTGATTTCTGGTGGTGAAAAGTAAGTGAATTTCTGGTGGTGAAGAGTAAGTGAATTTCTCGAATCAATTTGGTGTACCGTGACCTCTTTGTCGAAACCTTGACTTCTCCAGACCACGCGATCTCTCGTTATCGGAGCACCAGCTTCTTGGGAAACGATCCCAAGGTTCTTCCGATTCCTGTGAGTTCTCATAAGCCATAGAAGCTCAGTGCAGTCCAGTTTACTGTAGTACGGTGCGGTTGCTTTTCCGTTTCCGGTCGAGACCACCCAGATCAGAGTTTCGATCAACTGCTGCTGTTTCTTGTTTCCGCTTTTGCTGTGGTTTCGTTTTCACTGTCGCTTCGTTCGCTTTCTCTTCATTGTTTGCGGCCACGCGGCCAGCCAGTAGTTATTGGTTGCCTACGCGCGTTAAAATGGAAGAGGACAGGTGAGCGACAGGTGCGCGCGCACCGACGCGCATCGACGCGAATCGGTACCAGCGCGCGATTTGATGCATGAAAACAGTTCCTGCTGGTCTAACACGAGCTTGGCTGGCTATTCGATGACCGTTGGTGTGTTGATTCCTGAATTTGTTTCGTTGAATCTATTCTGTTATTTTCATCACTGATTAACCCTCCTTATCATTTTTTTCCATCGGCTTTTCATAGCATGTATTTCCCCTCCCCCGCGACCTGGTTCCCGAAAAAAGGTGAAAGAAAACACCGTTTTCTATTGGGTCATTCCTCGCCTTATTTTCACGCCTACCCGTCCTCCCCTCCCCCAACCCCAACCCCTCTCCTCCCTTTCCCTCCTCCCCCCCACATCTTCTTCCCCTCTCCCCTTCTTCCCACCATCTCTTGCCCTACCTCCACTCCCCCTCAGCCCCGAGCGGGCGCGCGGAGCGCAGGGGCGGTGGGTCTCCGAGCGGATCGAAACCGTCGGATCGGATCCCCCGGCCGCCACAAACGGCGCCTTTCGCGGCGGCCCGAGCGGCGACAGAGGCGGAGGCGTAGGAAGGGGAGGGGGCGGTTGGAGGGACCAAGACCGTTGGCGCGGCGGAGAGGGGTACTTAGACGGGGGGAGGTATGGCGGCGGGTTTAGCAGCAGCCGCGGGTATAACAGCGCGGAGGGGAGGGGGAGGGGAAGGGGGAGGGGGGGAAGGGTGGGCTGGGGGGACCGGTACCAAGGGCAGGGGGGCTTCGAGGAAGGTGCGGAGGGTATGGACGTGGATGGTGGGTTAGATGCCGGTGGTGGTGCTGCTGCTGGTGTTGCTGGTGGTGGTGGTGGAGGTCCCAAGGGAGAGATCACGCCGGAATTTGTGAACCCTGACCCGCAGCACATCCCGAGATCAGCCCGCTTCTTCCTGGTGCGTACATGCAGTTGCTTTCAGGGTTAGATGCTGGTAGTGGTGGTGGTGGTGGTGGTGGTGGTGGTGGTGGTGGTGGTGGTGGTGGTGGTGGTGGTGGTGGTGGTGGTGGTGGTGGTGGTGGTGGTGGTGGTGGTGGTGGTGGTGGTGGTGGTGGTGGTGGTGGTGGTGGTGGTGGTGGTGGTGGTGGTGGTGGTGGTGGTGGTGGTGGTGGTGGTGGTGGTGGTGGTGGTGGTGGTACTGGTGCTGCTGCTGGTGCTGGTGGTGGTGCTGCTGCTGCTGGTGCTGATGGTGGTGGTGGAGGTGCTGCAAGGGAGAGATCAGACCGGAATTCGTGAATCCTGACCCGCAGCACATCCCGAGATCAGCCCGCTTCTTCCTGGTGCGTACATGCAGTTGCTTTCAGGGTTAGATGCTGGTAGTGGTGGTGGTGGTGGTGGTGGTGCTAGTGGTGCTGGTGGTGCTGGTGGTGGTGGTGCTGCTGCTGCTGCTGCTGCTGCTGGTGCTGGTGGTGGTGGTGGAGGTGCTGCAAGGGAGAGATCAGACCGGAATTTGTGAACCCTGACCCGCAGCACATCCCAAGATCAGCCCGCTTCTTCCTGGTACGTACATGCTCACTCGGTCACTCCCACATTTCAATGATTTGTGAATCGACTCAAGTGTCGGTTCCAAGGAAATTTCTCACTCTTACTCTGCCTTGAACAAACCCATCCGTTCAAAACTCATGCCATGTCGCCCCCTCTCCTCTTCCCACTGCTTTCCCGTGTGGCCCCTCCCCTCCCTCTTTCCCCTGTTCAATTCAATTACCCCTCGACGCATCCCCTCCTTGCAGCACGACGATCGGATGAACGAGCCCATTCGCCGCCCTCGCCTCTCATCAGGCCCGCGCGCAGGTAAGCTTTCCCCGCGTAAACCCTCGCCGCACGTAAACCCGCGCCGCACGTAAACCCTTGCCGCACGTAAACCCGCGCCGCACGTAAACCCTTGCCGCACGTAAACCCTCGCCGCATGTAAACCCTCGCCGCATGTAAACCCTCGCCGCACGTAAACCCTCGCCGCAGGTAAGCTTTCCCCACGTAAACCCTCGCCGCAGGTAAGCCCTCCTCTCCCCATGGTAATCCCTGTTCCCTTGAATGCACTCCTTTGTATCCAGCCTCCCCTCTCCCTCCTCCCCTCTCCCTCCTCCCCTCTCCAGCGTCCCCTCTCCCTCCTCCCCTCTCCCTCCTCCCCTCTCCAGCGTCCCCTCTCCCAACTCCCCTCTCCCTCCTCCCCTCTCCAGCGTCCCCTCTCCCTCCTCCCTCCCTCTCCACCCCACCACCCTCCCCCTTTCTCCTCCTCCAGACTATTCCAACCTCAACAGCAGCACATGGAATTCTAAGCCCGGCGATTCCTTCTTTGAGTTTGAGGATGATGACAAGCGGGTTATCCAGCCTATCTCGTTCACTTGCACCCCTGCTAATCTTGCGTCCCCGTTGCTAATCCTGCACCCCTGCTAACCACCCCCCCTTCCAGACTATTCCAACCTTAACAGCAGCACATGGGGTCCCAAGCCCGGCGATTCCTCCTTCGACTTTGAAGATGATGGCAAACGGGCGATCAGCTCATCTTATACCCTTTTGACCCTGCTTATTTTGCCCACCTGCTAATCCTCCCCCCCTTCCAGACTATTCCAACCTCAACAGCAGCACTTGGGGTCCCAAGCCCGGCGATTCCTCCTTTGACTTTTAAGATGATGGCAAGGGGGCGATATGTGCTAATCCGGCTCTTGAACTTGCGCCTCCCCCCCTCGACCAGATTATTCCAACCTGAACAGCAGCACGTGGGGTCCTAAACCCGGTGATTCTTCCTTTGATTTTGACGATGATGGCAAGGGGAGGAGGGAGGAGGAGCGGGGTAGGGAGAGGAAGAGGGAGAGGGAGGAGGAGAGGGCGGGAGAGAGGGAGGGCGAGAGGGGGAGGAATGGGAGCAGGGGTAAGGAAAGGGGGAGGGAGCGAGGCGGCGAGGAGAGGGAGAGGGAGAGGGAGGGTAAACGTGGGAGGTATGAGGATGAGAGGGAGAGAGGGGTGGATAGGAGTGAGAGAGGAGGGAAAGGGGAGACAAGGGAGAGGGGAGGGGGGGCTGGGAAGGAGAGGGGCGAGGACCGATGGGGTCATGATAAGTTTGAAGAGGGGAGGAAGGAGGCTGAAGGAGGGGAAAGGGATGTAGTTCCAAAGAGAAGGAGCTTTGTTGTTGTGGCTAAGGGTGGAAAGGACGATTCAGCTGCTGCTGCTGCTGCTGCTGGTGCTGGTGCTGATCCTGCTGGTGCTTATGGTACAGGTGTGGGCAATGAACGCTACGTGGGTGATAGACCTGTTTCGGCTGGCCGGCATCGGGAAAAGGAGAGGGACAAGGGCAGGGACAAGGAGAGGGACGGAGAGAGGGACGGAGAGAGAGACAGAGAGAGGGAGCAGAGGAGGAGCGATCGAGCCGAAAGAAGCAGGGAGCGTGGGGAGCGGGCACGTGACTGGGTGGAGGAGACGGCAAAGTACCGTGGACACTACTATTACGGCCGCGACCAGGTTTACCCAGGCACAGCAGACTCCCGTCGCGACCGTGTTCGCACGAATGTGGAGTCGGGGAGAAGAGGTCATGCACCTTTGGATGATGGGTGGCGGGACGAGGAGCAGCCGGTGAGAGTGAGGAGTTTCAAGAGGGAGGGGGGAGGGGAGGACAGGTGGCAGCATGACAAGTTTGGTGACGTGGCCAAGAGCCCCACGCCGCCCCCTGCTGCTGTTGGTGTTGGTGCTGTTGGTGGTGCTGCTGATGCTGCTGGGCCTGATATCAGTCGGATTGAGGCACTGCTTGCAAGCTGATGTGGAAAAGGAATGAGTTATTCTCAAGGAATTCTAAAAAAACGTATTCGGCTGGTGCTGCTTCTGGTAGCTCTAGTACTGATGCTGCTCTGCTGGGCCTGACATCCGTTGGATCGAGGCACTGCTTGCGAGCTAATGAGCTATTGAGCTGATGACATGATGATAAGTTTGGTGACGTGGCAAAGGGCCCCATGCCGCCCCCTGCTGCTGCTGGAGGGGTGGTTGGTTTGGTGGTGCTGTTAGCGCTGCTGCGTATGGTTAAGGTCCCTCAAATATACCGTAGACTGGTTATGCTGGTGGGGTGGGTTGGTTGATTGCTAGTTGCTATTGCGACGCGCTGCTAACCATCGAGTGTTGCTAATTTTGTTTGGCACTAACACAAAGGCTGCTGAAGTGTTGATAAAAGGCAGTTGCTTGGTTGGACTACGGTTTTGCTTGTCTTCCCTATATCACACAAAGATAGCTACAGATTTAGGAACAGAAACAGTTAGCAATGGAGGTGCTACACCTCACTTGAACTGCTAACATAACATTGGGGACAATGAGGAAACGGGTGTACAGTTTGTTTCTGTTTCCTGAAGTCCTATCCAGTACTATATGAAGCATAATTAGACCGGAGTGGCTTGGGCAGTCTTGGCAATCTTGATAAAAACGTCTTCCAGAGTGGTGTTGGTGAACCCCCACGCCCGAATCGACATTTGGTTGCGCACTGAAGCAATCGTCGTAGAATATATTCATACTGGTGTAGCTTGCACAGTCTTGGCAATCTTGATAAAAACGTCTTCAAGAGTGGTGTTGGTGAACCCCCATGCCCTGATCGACATTTGGTCGCGCACCGATGCAATCGTCGCAAACACATCTGCAACTTCCACCTCAGCCATGGGCATCTCAAACTTTTGCGTGCCCGCCAGGCTGTAGATCCGCTTCGCGTTCGGGCAGATGGAGTTTACGACCCGCCCGATGTTCTCCTCTTCCTCCAGAGGCGTGGTAAGCGTCAGCACATACGTCCCGCCGTAACGCGTGGTGAGCTGGCGTGCATTACCGATGCACTCGAACTGACCGCTCACAAAAATGCCCAGTCTGTCGCAGAGAGCTTCAGCCTCTTCCATGGAGTGGGCTGGTGGAGGGAGAGGGGAGGGCGGGCAGACAGGAAGCGGGAAGAGGGTGCGATTGGCTGCGAGGAGAAGGATGCCGAAAGGATGAGAAGAAATGAGAGGCTGGCAAAAGCTGAGAGCCGGCTTGCGAGAAAAGGGTGGGTGCGACGGCACTCACTCGCCAGCACGATAGCACAGAAGCCTTTTGAGGCGCCCTTAGAGGTGAATAATGAGGCGCCTCAAAGCATGTAAGGGTGAGCGCAAGGGTGAAGAAAACGGTGCAGGCACTCACTTGTCAACACGATCGCTCGGTCCTTCTTGGCAGCCTTCACTACGTCCCACAGAAGCTTCCGGGAAGCGGGGTCCAGCCCGGTGCTGGGCTCATCCATATACACAACAAGGGGGTTGCCTATAAGGGAGATGGCGACGCTCAGGCGCCTCTTCATGCCGCCGCTGTACTGGCTCGACACCTTGTCTCCCACACCCCCTGCCAGCAGGTTCACGCTCTTGAGGGACTTGTCCACTGCGTCTTTCAGCTCCTGCCCCCGCAGGTTCTTGAGGCGCCCGTAGAAGAGCAGATGCTCCCTGCCCGTCAGCTGCTCCCATAGCAGGCTGGACAAGGGGAGAGAGGGAGGGGGATAGGGAGGGGAGAGAGGGTGAGCAATGGAGGAGGGAGAGAGACTTGTCCACTGCGTCCTTCAGCTCCTGCCCGCACAGGTTCTTGAGCCGCCCGTAGAAGAGCAGTTGCTCCCTGCCCGTCAGCTGCTCCCATAGCAGACTGGAGAGGGGAGAGAGAGGGAGAGAGAGAGGGAGAGAGGGAGGGAGGGAGGGAAGGGGAAGGGAGATGAGCGATGGAGGAGGGAGCGAGACTTGTCCACTGCGTCCTTGAGCTCCTGCCCCCGCAGGTTCTTGAGGCGCCCGTAGAAGAGCAGATGCTGCCTGTCAGCTGCTCCCAGAGCAGGCTGGGGAATGGAGAGGAGAGAGGAGAGAGGCGGGGAACGGGGAAGGATGGGTGGATGGAGGGGGAAAGAGGTGCCCAAGGGTTAGAAACGGACGAGGTTAGATTTGTCTCATGCGTCGATGCTCAACAATCAAACACTCCACCCACCCAAACCTCTCTCAAACCCCTCAAAACCACAATCAACCCTTCTCAAACCCCTCAAAACCACAATCAACCCTTCTCAAACCCCTCAAAACCGCAATCAACCCTGTCCAAACCTCACTGAATCCCTCCAAACCACGCTCAACCGCACCCAAACTCACTCGTGCTGCGGGCACACGCCCATGATGGAGTAAATCGCGTCCATGTCATCCACAATCCCCATGCCCTCAATGATCGCAGCTCCCTCGCTAGGCTGCAGGAACCCCATCATCATGCTCAGCGTCGTTGTCTTGCCCGCCCCGTTCGGCCCCAGCATGCCGAAGCACTCCCCTCTCGCCACGGCGACTGAGAGGTCCCGCACAGCCACCTTCTGCTTGTTGCCGTCGCGGCCCGGGTAAACCTTCCTGAGACGGTCGCAGATGATGGAGTAGTGCGGCGAGGACGGCGGCTGCTCCGATTCGGAATGCAACAGAGAGTCCACCAGCGCTCGCTGTAGGATGAGGGAGAAGGGAACGGGCCAGCATGGGGGAGAGAGGGAGAGGGGAGATGAGATTCTGGGATGTGAACGTGCTTGCTTCACCCTCCCCTCTCGCCACGGCGACTGAGAGGTCCCGCACAGCCACCTTCTGCTTGTTGCCGTCGCGGCCCGGGTAGACCTTCCTGAGACGGTCGCAGATGATGGAGTCGTGCGGCGAGGAGGGCGGCTGCTCCGAGTCGGAATGCAACAGAGAGTCCACCAGCGCTCGCTGTAGGAAGAGGGAGAAACACAACACAGGAGGGAAGCAGGAACCAGGAGATGATTATCGAACTGGGACAGGGGTAGACCTTCCTGAGATGGTCACAGATGATGGAGTAGTGCGGTGAGGCAGGGGCCTCTGAGTCGGTGAGGCGGTGAGCGCAGGAGAGAATCGACCAGGGCTCGCTGTGGGAGAGAATCGACCAGGGCTCGCTGTGGGAGAGAATCGACCAGGGCTCGCTGTGGGAGAGAATCGACCAGGGCTCGCTGTGGGAGAGAATCGACCAGGGCTCGCTGTGGGAAGGAGGGAAAACGGATTCTGGGGGAAAGGGGAGAGAAAGAGAGATGGGACCACGGTGTTCTGTTGTGCTCTTCCGCTGAGCTACCTTTCCCCCCTTCAAGGCAGAACAGAAACAGATAGGAACCTACCTCTTCCATCACATCTGGCTTGTCCTCGTCGCCCGCTCCCTCCTCCATGGAACTGCTCCTCCTCGCGTCCTGCCTCTTGCCCTTCTTGAACAGCTTCTGCAGCCCCAGCAGAGGATGCTTCCTCACGCCGCTACCGACCGCCACCACTTGGTCCAAATACAGCCCCACTAGCAGGAAAACGAGCGCCTCTATAGCGAGGATGAGGACTGCTGTGAAGAATCCCGCGTTTTGGGCCGTCTGCCACGTCAGCGTGCCGGTTCCATTCATCACGGCCGCGTCGTATGCTGACGAGGCGAACTCGTAAAGGCAGTGGTAGATGGAGAAGGCGGGAATAAGTTGGAGGGCGATCAACACCCCGGCTGTTGGTGGGACAAGGGAAGGGGGAGAGAGAGAGGAAGAAATGAGCTTGTGAGCCCACGAGGCAAACTCGTAGAGGCAGTGGTAGATGGAGAAGGCGGGGATGAGCTGGAGGCCGATCAACGCTCCGGCTGTTGGTGGGCGAAGGGAAAAGCGGGGGGGGAGGAGGGGAGAGTTAGGGAGAGAATGAGAAATGAGTTTGAGAGCCCCCAACGAAGTAGAGGCAGTGGTAGATGGAGAAGGCGGGGATGAGCTGCAGTGCGATCAGCTCCCCGGCTGTTGGTGAGGAGAAGGGAAAGGGGGGAGGGGAGGGGGAGAGGGAAGGTGAGAGAGGAAGAAATGAGTTTGTGAGCCTCCAATGGAGTAGAGGCAGTGGTAGATGCAGAAGGCCGGGATGAGCTGCAGGGCGATCAGCACCCCGGCTGTTGGTGGGACAAGGGAAAGAGAGAGGAAAAATCACAGGGCGAGGCGGGGATGGATGTCCAGGTTAGAATAGGACCACGAGCCTTCTCCGGTTGGGCGAGCCTTCTCCGGTTTGAGAATTGACCACAAGCCCCAAGCTGAGGAAGTTGGCCATGAGACCTGAGCCAAAGACATACATGGTTTGACTCTGGTTGACTCTGTTTGACTTGCCTTGCATGGTTTGACTCTGGTTTGACTCTCATCTACTCACTTGACTTTAGTTGACTTTGACTCACTTGAGGCGCTCTCAGAGTCGAGGAAGAGGCGGAAGAGGAAGTTAGCCATAAGCTCCGATCCCAACACATAGAAGATAGCAGACGACTGTGGCAACCTTGGGAGTTGCTGACTTCTGTTGACTCTGTTTGACTTGCCTTGACTGGTTTGGACTCTGGTTTGACTTTAGTTGACTTTGACTCACTTGAGGCGCTCTCAGAGTCGAGGAAGAGGCGGAAGAGGAAGTTAGCCATGAGCCCCGAGCCGAACACGTAGAAGTAGCAGACCACCGTGGCAACCTTGGAGTTGTTGAATGCGGTGGAGGTGAGGACGGAGAATGAGATCTGCATGAAGATGAACACCCCGTAGGCTAGCAGCTGCAGGCCCACGGGATTGGCTGTGAACATCTTTAGCTCTGGAAGGGTGGGAGGGAATGGGAGGAGAGAGAGGGCAAGAGGAAGACAGAAAGCGGTGGAGGTGAGGGAGGTGAGGGAGGTGAGGAGGGAGAAGGAGATGTGCATGAAGATGATCAGGCTGTAGGCTAGCAGTTGCAGCCCGACTGGTTTGGCCGTGAACATTTCTAGCACTGGAGGGGATGGGAAGGAAT